ATTGCCAGTTCTCAAACAGCTTGAGGAACTGCTGAGCGACATGAAGGCTGACGTCACACGTCTCCCTGCAACCATCGCCAGGATACCCCCTGTCGCCGTGCGGCTGCAAATGTCTGAGAGGAACATCCTCAGCCGACTGGCCAGCCGGGGCCCCGAGGTCACTGCTCAGAACCAATCACAGACCTCACAGCAGATGCAGGTGCCGCGCTGACGAACCACCTTGCACGTTTCCCACTCACAGACTGAGGCCAGTCGCTCTCACCTCACCGCCATGTAGCAGACGTCCTCCCTCTCAGCCCCCATGTACAGCACAGTCAGGTTAGTCCTCCTTGTTCTGCACCCATAGCCCATCTCCGGACTCGGAAGAGCATCAGCTGTGCTGCTGGACTTTGATTTGGAAAGACTGGAACTGTAGATGTAGGATGGGAGTGAATGGAAGAGTCACTTCTTTCTGTGGCAGACTAGAGACAAGTCTTTCTCCTCCACTGGGATTCAGATTTAACTCCTATAACCTAAGCACTGTCGAACTGCGGGAAGCTCCACTGACCTGTCCTGCTCTGTCTTCACAGCAGGGTCAAACGTGTGTGTGTGTAACTATATGTAACATGAAAGCTGAAGAAGCTAGACAGGAGAAGAAGCAGCATGTTTGGAGTATACTGGTGCTTTGTAGTAATTTTTTGGATTATTAAAGAATTCAAGGGGTTTTATTGTGTTCATTTTCACCTTTAGAAAATTGTGAAACTTTTTTTTAAAAGTTAATCAACTCTAATGTCCTCACCTGTATGTGTGTGTGTATAGAGAGAGAGTGTGTGTTTTCTGTATGTACTGTATGTATAAAATAGGGCGTATTAATGTGCAACTCTACTGCAGAATGCCCCTGACACTGAGAGACTGTTACTGTCACTTTTCTATCAGTCAGTCACCTCTTTTACCTCTTCCTGCGTCCTTACCGTCCATCCCAAACCTCCACCTCTCTTGTCAGGTGACCCGATCCAGGATCAGCTTCCTGTGCTAACACCCCAACCAGCACCTCAACATTCCTAACTGCACCACAGATTTGCTCCCTGGATACTCTACTGCGGATAGGCAGTAGCGCCACAGCTTTTAGGTACATGGGATGGTTTTGAGAACGATGACAACCCTTAAATTAATTTAATTTCTTACTGTCTATTGTTATGTTGTTTTACATTATATTGAATATTATTATTATGGTTACCACCTTGTTGTTTTTATCATTGCTGTTTGTTTTTATGGACTACAATAAAAAGTCAACAGTTTTTCAAGGTTTTTTTTTTAATACACATATTTTTAGCATCATGGCTCTGGGGATAGCAATGTCACTCAGGCGGTCAACCACTTTGGGCCAGAATGAAATTTATCAACAATAATCTGACTGATTGTGATGAAATTTGGTTCAAAGCCCCAAAGGATGAATCCTACTTACTTTGGTGATCCTCTGGCTATTCCTGTAGCACAGAATCAACAGCCTTTACTACTTAAGAGCTATTTTTGTACCATAAAATCAAGCCAGCAGCGAGAGCAAACAAAACAAATCCACACACTGTTAAAACCTCTTTTTTTACTCAGAGACTTCTCTTTTTTTTGGATTAGGAATCCAGAGCTAAACTAGCTAGGGAGACTTAGGACTTGTTGCCACCACTATTGAGGTTAAGAGAGGAAAAGGCGCTGGGTCAGGATGTAAGACATCACGCACATTTTAGATGACAAAATGTTCAAACATTTAGTCAGCCTGTGATGGCTACACATTTGTACAACTGGAGAATATAAAAATCAATTAGGCCTATAACAATGATGAAAATGGGGAACCATCAGTGATGCCACAGGGAGCCACTGGAAAAGGGGGGCTAAAGGGCAGCTTGTGGTGGATTGCCTACCCCTGCTGTTGCTGCACGAAGAGGTTAACTACTAACTAACTAACTACTGGATGGATTGCCATGAAAGTTGATTCAGACATTCAAACTCCCAAGGTCGAAATATTATGACTTTTCATCTAGTGGCATCATTAGGTCATTAATTAGTTTACGACCTAATATCTGCTAAACTAATTACATTCCCATCAGCCTCTGATGTTTCTGTGTTTAGTGGAAATTAACAAATGTTAGCATGCTAAACTAAGATGGTGCTAAACATCAGCATGTTGCATTGGCATCATGCTAGCAAGCCAGTGTTAGCATGTAGCACAAAGCACTGCTGTGGCTACATATAACCGCACAGAGCTAATTGTACATAATATTGTACAATTAGGAAACAGAAAGTTTCTTATCAGGCTGTTGGGCAACCATTAGCTGCAAGAACAGCTTCACTACGAGGGGTCAAACACCATTCTTCCAAAATATTTTCCCTCCCTTGATGTTTTAATGGTGGTAATGGAGAACACTGTCTGAGACTTTGGTCCTAATCTCTCCCATAGGTGCTCTGAGGAGCTTTGCATATGATTTACATAGTTCTTGTCAAACCATTCAGTGACCCCTGCATTTGTTCCAGTTCCACTCTTTCTTTTTTTTTGTGGATGCTGATACCAGTTAATTGTTAACCGTTCAAACTAAACAAATTCTGAGTGTTGTGACGTACTCTGCATGCAAGCCTGGAAAGACCGGGTGGAATTTACATGGAGGCAAATGTTGATTTTTGGGGGTGGGGGGTAAAAAAACCGGGAGAGCCTTTGCACATGTAAGGGGTCTTGAGAGGAGGAGCAGGGGAAGAAGGGGACAGGAACAGGCACATTTTCTCCCATAGATAGTCGGGGTAATTAAGAAAATTAAAGTAAATTACAGGGTGGGACGATAGGCTGGACTGGTAATGAAGCCTGATATCTTATCATGAGAGAGAGAGAGAGGGAGAGAGAGAGAGGAAAAGAGAGTTGGAGGGTAAACATGAGCGAGGCTGGGTGCAAATGAACACAGGAAGCAAGAACAAGGGGAGCTGACCACGACTGGAGAAATCCATCAGCTGCTGACGATGTAACCTGACTCTTCATGTGAGTTTCCCTGAGCGTCATCATACACAACAACAGAGGAGAGGCTGGAGTCATCACTTCCAGGTACAGAAGAGCCCAGACTGCCAGTGAGTCCCTACAATGGCTCGTAGGTGAGTGTCTTGAATTTTTTTGTGTATTTGCTACAGTAAAAAAGGAGGAGCTTCCTTAATTTCCAGCGTCCAACCTGTTTTTTCAACATATTTTCAACTCTTCTCTTCAATCTTTATAAATGTTTACGCCATTGTTTGACATTTGCTCTGAAATTTAACTCATGTGTCCCATGTTTCTCTATCGTACTGTACGTTAATGCATGCAGACCTTTTTTTCTATTACTAAAATAAAACAAAGTGTAGGAGGAGGTGATGCGGATAAAGTCCTCTCACGGTATATGTCCCTTTATATTGTGTTATTGCTATATATAAATCCTCCATTGAATTGGTGCAAAAACAATACTAAAATCTAATAATGCCATAAAGCAGTCATCTGCATTGATTTGCAACATTGGCCACATTGGCTTAATTTATATGAAAGGAAGAGTTACGAAGGTATAAACAGCATGGGAAGATCACTGACAAACATTTAAATTGTCTCATGGTCTTATTACCCCACATAATGAGAGAAGTGCAACCTCAAAATGGCTTTCACAATTTTCTTCAAGTCGCTGATATTACATTTACAAAGATATCAAACAGAGAGAAGGCAACCTAGATCGGAGGTAAGTGGTTCTGGTCTACTTCTTTTTTATTAGCTCTTATAATATTGTTGTAAGTATATGATAATTTTAGAGGTGTAGACAGAGGAGGGAAGGAACAAAACATATACAGTAAATTCATCTGAGCAGAAATAATTTTGATGCGTTGCAACAGTGTCGTGTGTTGACACAAATGATCAAATCTAGGAAACATCTTTGTTGTCACTCTTGAGGCTGTGTGAAAAGAACCCCAGTGTGTGTGTGTGTGTGTGTGTGTGTGTGTGTGTGTGTGTGTGTGTGTGTGTGTGTGTGTGTGTGTGTGTGTGTGTGTGTGTGTGTGTGTGTGTGTGTGTGTGTGTGTGTGTGTGTTTCATTTGCCACATTGCTGCGTTCGTCCTGCAGCCTGAGAAACGAAGCTCAGTCGTGTCAGAAGGGAAGAGAAGCCAAAACCAGACTCAACTGTTGAACATGCGAATCTGTGAGAAGAATAATGCAAACTGCAAATAGTTGGCGTTAACCACGACACCTGCAGTGCTGTGTGTGTGTGTGTGTGTGTGTGTGTGTGTGTGTGTGTGTGTGTGTGTGTGTGTGTGTGTGTGTGTGTGTGTGGAGAGAGGGTTGGGGTGGGGCTAAAGTATTCTGTATATATTGTGTCTTCTACTTATTCTTGTCTACCCTTTTTTGCTTAAATGTGTTTTTTTTTGACACATTGTCACCTTCAACTTTACACATTTTGACACTAAAAACAACGTAGTTTACAGTTCGCAGTCTGTTATGTCTTTAGAACAGACAGACTATAGTTTTCATGAATTCAAATATCTCCTCTTGTAGGTGAATATAATTTGCAAGTTAAATGTGGATTACCCCTGTTTGTTTCACAGGTTGTAAACTGTTAGTTCGTGTGATTGTGGTGTATTCGACATGTTGTTTTTGGAGTGTGGCCAAGCCTTTCATATGATACAATGGATTTGTGTTGCATTATGGGGGGAAACCAGATTCTCTCGCAAGCCTCTACATGCTTCTTGTTATGAGAGGGATTAAAAATTTAAAGAACATGGTCAAAGATCATCGTCTTCGTGCCCTCAGTGGTAGTTTTGGAGTTGCCGCCTCAGTGGTCTGATAATGAGTTCACAGTTGCAAATGCTGCTCACACACAGAAGGGGGGGAGGCTGAACTGCAAATAAGGAAGTGTTCTGTGACTTTGACCTTTGTGTGTTACATACACACTCACACACACACTCATACACACCTGGAAGTGAAGAACAAACAGACAACAATAGTAGCAGACAGGTGGGCAGACAGAGGGGAGAAGCTGACTGAGAGACGACGTGTGGGCTTGTTCGCAAAGGAACTTAAAATTTTGTGGATTTTTAATTTTTTTTATTCCTGGCTGTAACCAAAGTGGAGTTAATGGAAACCGGCCTTCTCTCTCATGATTCCCATTCATGAATGGAACAGTGTGAACCATCTCTGCTGCGCTATTTGTTGAGACCTGCACAGAAGTCGGTGTGATGGAGCATCAGAGAGCAAGTTTCCAGAGTTTTAACTTACTCTGCTCATAAAAATGATTATTTTTTTGTTTTGATTATCTTTATAAAACACACAAAAAACAACAACAACCCAGGTCTCTATCTGTTGGAGGAATTCCATCCTGTCAGCTATTTTAGTTCCTGTCTTGCTTTCACTATTTTGTGAAAGGAGACGTAAAAAGGAAGGAAGGGGAGAGCGAGAGAGAGAGAGGAGGAGAGAGAGACGTATACAGTCTGAGCGTCTCGGCGAGTGTCAGTTGTTTTCAGACGCAGCTGAGAAGAGTAAGTGTTTACCTGCTTTCCTACTGGGACAGAGGGGGGGTTATATAGAAAGAGGAGTGGGTGGAGGGAAGCGTAGAAGGTGATAAGGAGAAGAGTGCGTGTAGTCTGAGGGTTTTGTGAATGCGATGTGATAGAGAGAGATAGGGTTTTGGTATTAGATGAATGTATGTAAGTGTCAGAAGCAGAGCAAGTGTGTGAAAGAGCATAAAGACTGAAAGTGAGTTACCTTCTGTCAAAGCGGGTGTGCAGCTGTAAATTGAGGAAGTGTTGAGGAACTGGCTGTTTCTTTATATAATTAGATATAAAGAATACTGTGCTTATGCTTTTTGAGTCTGCACATGTGCAGGTAGACTCTCACCAATCACTCTCCTTCTCTTTGGTCCCAGAAGAAGTGAAGAGACACCATGGTTCGGTGAGTCAAGCCCCCCGCTGGACAATCTAATGCTCCGTTAGTCAACTCTTGTTGTGTACTCTGTGCTTTGTGCAAGGCGGTGATGACAACTTCTCTGTTTCCATTCCTCCTTCTCTGTCTTTCCCCAGCTGTCGACTCATCCTGTTCTGTTCCTCCATCATGTGATTTTTTAAAGCTTTGTGTGCTTTTCATTGTCATAAATGATGTTTTATGTCCGTGGTTGAACGAGAAACCCCTTTTTTTGGGTCCTCAACGATCCTGTGCTTTAAAGGTTTGCTGACTAGGTTCCCTTTACCTTGAGTTGACGGGTCTTTCCCTCTGAGACTGTGTATAAACATTAGTAGTATAAAAGCTCTCTTGTGGCAAGCCAAAGTATAAAGAGGAAACACACATTCAAGTGCAAACTGAGTCTAATTGTCAAAACAAGTGCATATTCAGGGTTTCCCAACCCTTAAAAGATGTATTTTATAACATTACAAGCTTTATATTGTACATTGTATCACTGCAACTGTGGAGAAAATGGAGCAGCACGGGTTAGAGGAAAGCTATTGTAATGATAAATAGTCAATTGCACATTTGGGTAATATTCTTTTGTATCTGTGTTTCAGTACTTACATACATACAAATAAGGTCTCAAGAGTTTTTTGGGTTAGCTCTGAGAGCCAAGTTTGACCACAACGCACTTTTTCCACCCTCAAAGGGCTCCAGGAAATGATAAAATAGTAGATATTAAGTCGGACCTGATGCAATTATGTTACGTTGAGTAACTGTGGTGCACGGTGTTGTTGAAAGGGCTTTGAAGCAAGAGCTTTACTGGATTTGTTTGGGTTATAGTTACGTAGATGTACAGTATAATGTGACGATTGCTGTGGTATTCTAGTCTGAAAAGCAGGCCTTAATTGTATCATTGGTAAAGGTGTGGACGAAGGTTCATAATGTGGTTAAAAGTGAATTAAATAATCTTTCTCCTGTAGTCAGAGCTGTGTTTGCTACACAATTAAAACAGTAAAGGACACAGTCTTTATAGTTCTGATTATAAATGATGATTAATCAATTTATTGTTTAATCCAAAAGGTTATGTGTTAAAAGTGATATTCATTAGTTTTTAGTGACACAGAAGAATGGAAAAGAGAAAGGAAATGTTTACACATAATAAGTGTTAACATAAGTGTTAAACCAGAAAATAATTGGTAAGATTATTGGTTGATTGATAAGATTGATTAATTATAGACTGTGGTGAGAGACCTGCCTCTTCCGCTGTGTGGAAACACTTAAATAAACAAACTACTGTTATTTCTATTTAAAGAAAATACTGAATTTGTTTGTACTTTTACTTTGTATTTTGACTGTAACACAACTTTGTACTAGCTGTGTTTCAGTACACTGAGCTGAATGTTTTGTGTGTATGTGTGTATAAAGACGTATATGTTTATATTTACCTGATCGAACTCTATTTATGTGTGTGTGGGTGTGTGTGTGTACTGGGTGCAGTTATAATTATTTTGAGTGTATTTTGACTTTGTTTCACATGATGCAGGTGGTTCCACAGAGACATCACAGGCTTGCAGGCCGAGGAGATCCTGAAGACTCGAGGCATTCATGGCAGCTTTCTGGCTCGACCCAGCAAGAAGAACGTAGGAGATTTCTCCCTGTCTGTCAGGTAATGTCTACAAACAACACCCTGAATCTCTATTTCCCTTTTCTAACTCCCCCGCTAATTAAAAAGCTTCCTTTCCTTTCCTTTTAAATTGTGCTGTAAGCTCACCTAAGAGACTCTTTCACTTATCAAACCTTGAAAGGGAACATAAATGACATAAATCTGAGATAGATTATTGCAGCAAATGAAGGATTCAGCTCATTCATTGTATAATAGGACGCACACCCAGATGCAAACACTGGACTCTTACCGGCACTGCATTTTTATTTACTACTAAAATTCATAAATGGACCCGCTGCCTATAAACTACAAAACTGTTTTACAACTTTAAGAAAGGAGATGTGCTGATAATGTGAATATCCTTACTATCTGTATCTGTGACGGAAACCAAACTTTCCACTGCTCTGTGTGTGTACGTTAAAGTCACACCTTGTATTTACAAATGTGTTTTTATTACATACAGTTGTACAGATAAATGTTGATGCTTTTTTAAAAATCTATCTAGCTTTAGGATTCAGTTGATGTGGTTGTTATTCACAATATAACAGACTAAATAGAAATTTTAATGCTTTAATGCAATTTAATTCAAGAAGCATTAAATGCTAAACATAGAACAGAATAAAATAAATTCTTATTACTAAAGATAATAATTCGACTGATAACATGTTTTAATGTTTGTTCAGGACGTTTCATTAATATAAAGTGTGCCTTTATGATGAATGTGAACACAGCACTGCAGTGTGCGGTTCACTGAGGTAAAAGTTTAAATTTAAATATGTACTGAATCTGTGCAGATGCAGTTATATTAACTCACAATATATCTGCCTTTATTAATAGTAATACATATTATGCTGAAGTCAATGCTTCAAAGACATATTTGGGTTAAATGTTATATGGTTATATACGTCGGTATATTATGAGAATTAGTGTGTTCATATTTCTGTTCAGGCCTTTTATGGTAACAATGAATGTTGAATGTATGAGATCAGTAAGTTATTGATCACATAACCCCAGTTTGTAGTTTAAAGAGATAAAAGTTTAAATTTGGAAATATATTGCATCCCTGTCTATATTAATAGCAATAGAGATATATTGTGAGAATTACTGTTCCTGTGTTAACATTTCTGTTCAGGCCTTTAAGGCAGGCAGCTGGGTGGGTGTTAATTTGGTAACTCTGGATGTGTAAATGAATAAGTAATTGATCACAGTGTAGCAGTCTGTAGTTGTAAGAAGTTATAGATCAGATGATTCCATAGTCTGAATAACTGACCCAGTGGTGCCCCAGGTGTTTTTACTAGCGGTGTTAAGATGAGACCGCTGAAAATGTCAGGGTGGCACACCAAAACCAAAAGCCGGGCGGTGCCCATAATGAAGAGACAAATATCACTGCCCTCCCGCCACTATTGCAAGTTCAAAGCACTTTCTGGGCTTTTCTCTGGACCCTTAAACTGCATGAATGTGATGTGTGTGTAGTCAGAAGTGGCTTGCTATGCATTTGTTATATTCTTTAACATGAACTGTCATGAAAAATACAAATTATTGATTTAAGTGAATAGTACCTTGTGTAAAATATCAGATAGAACCATATTATGTGTATGTGAAAGAAATTGCTGGTCCTTAATATTAAAAGGAAGCGCAGAAACAAGAAAAGCTCTTTTATTAATCTGATAAAATCCAGAGATCTACTGTATTAACTGCAGTCTTAGCATGAACCCAGAGTGCAGCTGCTGTGTCACAGACAAATATAACTACTATACATAGAACATGAAGTATACAGTACACGCTTCGGGTTCAGCTGCACAATCTGTGAAAATCAAATAAAGCTCTGTGAGGACCGGATTTATGGGTCAACAATGAAACATTTATTTTGAAGCAAATAAAGTTGGTAGAACTGTTATTTTACAGTTTAAACACAGAGATGTTCTGTTAACGGTAATCAGGATGTTTTTCATGGAGGAGAAACTTTGACGGTTGGTGTGAACTGTTTTATCTCAGGGTGGGTGATTGTGTCACCCACATCCGGATCCAGAACACGGGAGACTACTATGACCTGTACGGCGGGGAGAAGTTTGCCACCCTGTCAGAGCTGGTGGATTACTATACAGCGGAGAACGGCATCCTGCAGGACAAGGATGGCACCGTCATCGAGCTCAGATACCCCCTCAACTGCTCCGACCCCACCACAGAGAGGTCTGTGCACTCCTACTTTAACCTCCACACCTCCTGTGGCCCACAGTGACAGCCACTGGCTCTGTGCTGCCTCCACATACACTCTCAGCTTAAGCGCATTAGTGTTTGGTTAGGTGGTTAAGTCTACTATTGTCAGCTATGACAACATTAAACATATAAACTTTTTCCTCTGGGGAAGATAAAGCCACTTTTGTGTCATTTTGGTGGAATAGTATCTTTATCAGAATGTGAGTCGGTCAAAAACAATCACTCACGCTCCCATCCTTCATCCTTCCTTGGAATCACTGCTGCAGCTCATGAATAACATGTGATTACTACTTGAGTAGTTTACTTAAGTACAATTGTACTTTTCTTATATGTTTCCATTTTGTGATACTTCATACTCTGCTGCATGTCACACAGAAATAGTTTTTAAAAACAATCAAAGATCCCCTCCAGACATATAAAAATACTTGGAATAATAGTTGGTGTTTGATAAGGTTTTTCTAATATTACATGTTCTCCTTCTGCCTTACTGAATAATCCAGGATCTGTGAATATAAAAAAATAATTTCACAGGTAAAACTATAAAAACAAGATGTCTGATATTTTACTCAAAAGGTCATTTTCAGTTTATGTGAACTTGAATCAACTTTCGACATCACACATCTCTTGCAAGTTGCATATTGGAACATGTCTGGTTTCCAAGATAGTAGTGATCGCGAATATCATGCTGGTACATGTGCGTGTTAAACTTTAAAGTGAGCACAGAGAAACGTTCCACCTTCAGCAGTTGAATGTGCAATAGCTTTCTGGTGTTGAGCTCTGCACATGCTTCGTTCTGCACGGTGAAGGTCAGACATCACAGTTAGGTAAATATAAGAAAAATGCTTTTTTTGAGAGGAGTGGGCTTTAACTTTTCCAACACATACACATACAAGACTTTGAAGCAAAAACACAAAACAAAAGAATTGAGGTAACAGAACACACCTTTATACATAAAACTAACAAATTCTGATAAAGTTAGACCAACCAATAAACTGTAAAAGTACAAATAAAATACAACACTTCTTGAACAAAATAAATAAATTGAAGGAACTTTTACCGTCCATATTTACAACTTACGTACACTTTACTTAAAAAATGAGACCAACTTCATTGAAATAATTATTAGACCTTGCGATTAATGATCCAAAGGAGGCGATGTCTGTTATTACTTTTAACCATTCAGCAAAATCAGGTGTTGTCTAATGGAGGAGAACAGTCCTCGAAGTGACAACAAACCCCCGACGGTGCAAGTCCAGTGATCCAAGAGACCTGTTTCGTAATAAACACAGATGGGGAGATTCTGGAAATTATTTATGCAACCACTTGCTCATTTACAAAATGGAGAGACAGAAGAAGTACTTTTCATTTTTACACTTCCAGCAGTCACATTTTCTCTCAGAGAGACAAATTGTGCTTTAATCGCATTTTCTGTAGCTGTCAGCTGGGTTGCCTATTAGATAAAATCATAAAAATATCATTATATTGGGAAGTTCTCTTGTAAAGTTTACCGCATCAATATTGCTGTTTTTAGACATTGTGTAACACAACTTTAACTTTTTCAGTATTCAGTTTATTTTTAATAGTGACATCAGTCGTTAACAGAGACTATTCTTCACAATGATCACTTTTAATTAGTATGAGTAGAAAATGTACCTAAAAATATGCTTTTGAGTGCAGAACTTTTACTTTAAACACTCATTAGCATTTACTTTTCATCTTAGTGCTAGTAGCTGTCATTACAGCTAATAGACAAGACCATTTTCTATGTTTGCACGCAGAGCCCACCACATCAAAGGCAGAACCAGACATGAGCTGTAAATGAGATAACAATCGTATTTGTCAGATACATGTTAAAAAAAGACATATACAGTGTTTGTAATCTAATTTTGCTACATTGTACATTCACACACTTCTGTGCCATTGCAGCTGGAGGTGCGGCTGTAGGCTGCTTAAAGTAGGTTGATGTCCAACTAGTTTTGATGAATTAACACATACAGTTCCAGTCTTTCTATGAGTCAAGGAGGACACTACTTTCTATCGTGTGTGTGTCTGTGCAAGTGTGTGTGTATGTGACTGTGTACTTCACCCTAGCTGGAAGCTCTACCCTCTGCCCCCCCCCCGTCCTTCTCTCTCTGTCAGTTGTCTAACTTCCCTTTTGTTGCTGCGGTTGGAAACTTTAAGTTTTGACACTTTTGAAAGCAATGGCCAGACCCTGCTTGCCTTCCTCTATTGCACACTCCATCATGTTCTTGCTCACTTGCTGTCTTCCTCATCTCACCCAATTTCTCTCTCTCATCTCAGAGCATGGTTCCACACACCTCAGCAGGTCACCGTGTGGTGCAATTGTCTTTATATTTGTTCTCACATATCTGGCAGCCTATCTCTTCTCAGAAAAGACTATGAATATGATCAGACCATTAGAATGTTGTCTTGATCTTGTGCAATTACTGTACAGTATTACTTAACATTACATTAATATTAGTGTTACTCTTCTGCACAGGCTGTACTCTAGCTTCTGCAAAACTGCACATACTGTATCTTTTTCTTGGTCTTCTTCGCTGCAGGTGCTAGATGCAACTATCTTCAGTGCAACTTTCTGTAAAAGCATAAACTGTGATTTGACAAGTATTTAAATCAAAGAACTCAATAATTAAAACCATGTGCTAAAGTGCAAAAGCCATAAAGAGAGCAGACGGGGGTTGGGGTGTGTGTGTGTGTGTGTGTGTGTGTGTGTGTGTGTGTGTGTGTGTGTGTGTGTGTGTGTGTGCGTGTGTGTGCGTGTGTGTGTGTGTGTGTGCTTGCTATAAATACTTTGTCCTCTTCAGCCACGAAATCTGTCATCAGAAATTTTCCGACCGCAAAGCAGGAAGTTTAGAAGTAGAAATCGAGAACTGTGCCTAAAATTAAGTCACAACCCTACACGGCCAAGTGTGCATTCTCTAATTCACACAATCTCCAAAAACACACACACACACACACACGCACATAGAGAGTACGGTGGTGGACAGAAATAAGACCTACAGCAGCATCTGTACACACTGTTTTTAACTATCCACCATAATGCATCTGATTCAGTTGTGGCTTTCTATTTCTACTCACTGTATAGTGTGCACAACAGTCCGCTGTACCACATCAGTGAGTGTCTGACAACCGCTTAGCCTTGAATAGACTGATACGTTCACAGCGCAGTAACGGTGCTCTGTTCTCATACAGTAAGTAGGAGGCCGTAAAAAGAAAAAAAAAAAGGATGAGATGATGTTTTGTTTGTGTTTTTATTTTGGTTGCTGCATGCAAAATGTCAACATGACAGACTTTAAGCATGAGACAGAAGGTATTGTTGGTTATCTGTGTTTCTGCAGGTCACAGAAGTAAACTGCCACAAACAGAGGCCAGATTTAGCTCAGTGCATGAATACAGTAAAGGTTAAATTTAAAGCAGAGTGGAACTAGAAGCATGTTCCCTTTATTAGCCTGGTGTGGCTACATGTTTTGATAATTAAACACAGGTCTCAATTAGAGGCCTGTACTGGATTTGTATAGACATTCTCTGGATGTATAAACCCACCGGGTCGCCTGCTTGATTGAGTCCTAAGCTGCTCAGATTGCCTACACAAATACCAATGTTTAACCTTTTGTGTGCTACACATTATTAGATCAGTCAGATTCTCCACAGTTCAGTCACTGAGTTCATTTTACGGAAACCATGACCACCAAAGTATCAAATGATCAAATGAATCATAAGTAATCTATTACTTGATAGCCTTTTCTACAAATATTGTTTATACTATACTACTTTAAATAAAGAGTTTAATAGTTTTTACCATCATCCATGTGCAAAGGGCATTTAAGGCCATATAAATGTAGGTTGAGTCAACTGATTGAAGCAAATAAAAGCTATTAATTAAAGGTTTTACTGTACTGTTAAATATGACTGCATCATGAACCAACAGTGCCTTTTGTGTCTCAGGTGGTACCACGGTCACCTGTCCGGGCCGAATGCAGAGAAGATGCTGGTGACACGAGACGAGACATATACCTACCTGGTCAGAGAGTCGCTGTCCAAACCTGGAGACTTCGTCCTGTCGGTTCTGACGGACGAGATAGGCAAAAATGGGGCAAAGAGAGTCTCCCACATCAAGATAATGTGTCAGGTGCGTGCTTGTGCCTTTCAGTGTGTGGCCACATGTGTCTGGTGGATGCGAGATAAAGGGTTCATGAAACTAAGGGTTGTTTTTGGTCAGTCCTGTGATTTGAATAGTCAGAATTAGGACAGATTCACATCATGTACAAATACTGAGGGGTATTCCCAAAATTGTGTTGTGCTCTTTGAATTTCATTTCCCCCGTCTTATGCAATGAAAGACTGTTGCTCATATTTTTTAACTCTGCTATAGTTGATAAGTGTGAAACTAAAAACTGTCCTAATTGTTCTGACATTATTAGGTTTTTGTATCCTGTGTCACTGTGAACGTCTGCTAATGATATTCACAGTACAGCAACAGGTCACGGCGCCGTTTATAAAACTAATTTTCATAGTCATCTGTCGCCATCAAGTCATTTGCATTTTATTTCTAGCAGAGGCTCTGACTTCATAGAAAATGCAGCTCTGGCCTCATTGAAATGGGACCCATCGTTTTAGAGCGGATGATTATTGTGAGATTAACGGAAAGGTCACAAAGGCCTTTTCACAAGCACGTGGCAAAGATCAGACAAGTTACCGTTCTCAGGTCTGAACTTCAGCATCTGTTTATTGCTGTTCGTACCAAGACCAGATTACTTTAGTGGCCAATAAACTGTGTCATTTATTTGAAAAACGTGTTATACTTTTAGTATTGCCTGTAAGTCTTTTCTTTTTCCATTATGATTAAAGGATACGTAAAAAGTATCGTTAATAATCTTTTATTAAAGTTCTGTTGTTTTCATTTCGTGTGATTGCTTCTCAGCTGGTCAGTGCCTCTTTAGAAACTTTATTCTTTATTTTTTTACACCAGACAGTCTTGTGTTGGTTTATCCGGGATAATATGTTGTGTGGTTTTTTTGTGTGTGTTCAGAATGACCGGTACACAGTCGGAGGTACAGAGATGTTTGACACGCTGACAGACTTGGTGGAGCACTACAAAGTCAAAGGCATCGAGGAGGTCTCTGGGAACTGGGTGTATTTAAAACAGGTGAACTGGACTTTATTTTTTTTGCATCCAAACGATATAGATAAAATATGTTCAATTTAGTTTTATACCACAAATTTAACAAAGTGAATGTCAGTGAAAAGCAGATCCGTGTGAATTATTTGAAAAGACAAGCACCACAGCCCACAGATAGGAAATATTACTCACGTCTTCAAGCTCGTCTTAATGTGGCCTGGCTGATGATGACGGTGTTGTCTTTGCCTTTCATCTCTATTATAAGATTTTTCCTTTCTCTCTCTCTCTCGCTCTCTCTGTCTGTCCTGGCAGCCTTATTACTCCACCAGAGTGAATGCGGCCGATATCGACAGCAGAGTGAAACAGTTGGACAAGACCACACAGCAGCAGCAGGATGGTGATGGAGAGAAGAGCAAGGCGGGCTTCTGGGAGGAGTTTGATGTAAGATTTGACCTGGCCTCGGTTGTGTTTGCCATGATTGTTTCATACCAGGATGCTTTGTCTGAGGTGTACCACAGGGTTGCTCTAAAGTGGGGGAAAATGTATTTATACATCAGACATCTTATTACAACTTGAAATGTCTGAAAGCCTTTTAACATCTCAGGACTTCCTTACTGTGTGCAAAACTAGAGGTATTATACTACCATCTTGTGGTGGTGAAATACACTTTGTACCAGTGCCATAATATAAAAACTGTGTGTTGGTGAAAGGAAATGGAAAACCTTCTTGCAAGTGCAAAATTTAATTTACAATAAAGTGCAGGTGTTGGTGAAAAGGGCTGCAAATAATGATTATTGTCATAATCGGTTTATCTGATGATTATTTTCTCAATCGTTTGGTCTATAAAATGCAGTGGTGGAATATAATAATTATTATTATTTATATAGAATTTACAAATCGCTTTGACAGACAAAGCAAAATACTTGTGATACACAAAATGTAATTATAAATCAAAATAAAGAATACCAAAATACAATAAGAAGAGCAGAATAGAAGCCATAAAAGTCAAATTAAAGTAAATAAATACAGTGACAGAATAAAATTAAAAGATGACAGTATAAGTCCTAAGATCTTTTACTTAAGTAAAAATAGTAAAAGTATTATTTGCAAAGTAACTATTTTGGTATTGGGATTTGCTATTATAAGCATTGGTACATATATATGTTTATTGAGACTGGGATGTGTTTGTATTGTAATAACTATTCTGAACTTATTCAATCTTCTGACAAATTATTATAATTTTAAAAACTAAAACTAATACTGAAACTAACAGATATGAAACAAAAACTAAACAATAAAAAATAAACTGAAATGAGCAAACCCACTCTGGGAACAGAACAGAATTGAATATATTCAGTTAATGATATAAATCTTAGAAAAGCAACAAATCCTCATAATCAGGAAGCAGATACTGAGGGAGATTCGGTATTTTTTTGTTAAATGATTATTAAAATAGTTTCAATTTGATTAGTCTCATCTCCAGTGGGGACACAACTCCAGTAAGATTTTTTGTTTTTTCCTAATATTGTAAAACTGAAACCTGCGTACACATGAAGTACTGATCTCTATTATTATATAACACACACTTATAATATTCTCTCTCTCCTGTCAGGCTCTTCAAAAGTTGGAGGCAAAGGTGAAGAAGAGCAGAGAGGAGGGCCAGAGACCTGAAAATAAGAGCAAGAACAGATACAAGAACATTCTTCCCTGTGAGTTTTTAACCTTCTCAATATCATTATTCCCTAAATTAACTAAATCTTACAGATAAATCCACATTTTGATCGTTCTGACGTTGATTAAATGCTCTCGTTCTCCCTCTCTCCCACCGTCAAGTCAATGACACCAGGGTCATCCTGCAGGACACTGATCCTCAGGTCGTGGGTTCAGATTACATCAACGCAAACTACGTGAGAGTAAGTTTCCAGAGTCACTGTCCTCATAGCAACAAACAAAACTGTCAGATGTTCTCGTTTTCATCATTCATGCTGTTATTAGTCTCCATTGTTTGTTTATTTAAGGAGCTTTCACTGTGTGCTTGTAGAACACCCTGCAGGAGTCCACGGATCAGAAAGTTTACATTGCCACACAGGGATGCCTAGCAACGACTGTCAACGATTTCTGGCAGATGGTATGGCAGGAGAACACGAGGGTGATCGTCATGACAACGCGAGAGGTTGAGAAAGGGCGGGTGAGTATCAGAACAACACACACACACACACACACACATATATATATATATATATTATTAGAGCCCGATCAATATGGTATTTTTGAGACCAATGCTGATATCAGAGAGCCTTTTCCACACACAATGTGTCTGCGATAGACCAATATCAGCTAATATCATTAAGATCACCATTTCTGTTGTTGTTGTAAATATAAAGGTTATATATATACTTGCCACTGGGTGGCGCACTAGAGCAGCATCTTAGACCAAAACAATGGGACAGAAATTAAATATTTATATAATTTATACTTGAAGTGCGAGAGGTTGTGATTCCGAGGTCAGATAACTAATAAATGCAAAATATTATGAATAATTACAATAACAAACAACGGCCATGTGAACCCTGCAGATAAAGTTACTGATCAATGCATTTACTGATTTTATTCTTTGTTTTTGTGCAGAATAAATGTGTGCCATACTGGCCAGACCTTCAGTCCTCCAAGGAGGTGGGTCCATACGTGGTGACCAATACGTCAGAGAGGGAAGCTACTGATTACAAAGTCCGAGTTTTGGAGATTGCTCCTGTGGACAAGGTAACATCCAAACACCAACCTCTGACTACACTCACTCATCTCTGTGTGCGCTATTCTGACATAAAGCTTTCACCAGGACTTTTTTATTATTGTATTCACGTATTATTTTCTTCTTTTGCAGCCAAAACTTTCCCGTACCATCTGGCATTATCAGTACTTGAGCTGGCCTGACCATGGCGTCCCTCAGGAGCCCGGTGGTGTCCTCAGCTTCCTCACTCAAGTGAACGCTAGACAGGCCGAAAGTCCTAATGCAGGACCCATGATCATCCACTGCAGGTACTAGCCTGCTGCAGCCTGAATGGACAGTGGGGTGGAGACCAGATATAATGATTGTGGGATTATTGTGTCTCAGCTGTTGTTGATTGTTAGTCAATGAAAAGTCAGAAAAGGGTTTTTTAAAGGGGCCCATTACAATTTCCCATCTCCAAATGGCAAGTTTTGTCCGATTAACAGCTAAAACTGAAGAATATTATATTTCAGATTATATAATATCGAGAAAATTAGCAAATCCTCACTTTTCCGAAGCTGGAAGCGGCGAATGTTTATCTTTTCTGCTTGATAAATGATCTAAACAACAAGTTGATTATCAATATATATATAGGTGGAGTATGGTGGGTCACACCATGTATCAACTGAAACTGAAACTTGTGGTAGATATCTGGTGTTAGTGTAATGTGATAATGATAAACGTCACAGCACTAAGTCTACCAAAACTTAGAGGTTTAAGATTAAAATGATTATAGTTGGAGGATTAAGATTAGTAGCTGAACAAAAGGTTTTGAGTCAACTGAGAGTTTATCCTTTTGGAATTTTGCCGTACACTGAAGCCGCTTGTGCTTCTTTAAAACTTGTTGTTTAAATGATTATAAGTATTTTGGTATGTAAGCATGTTCACAAAGCTGCACAGCTGCAGTAATAACGTGTCCCATACTCCCTCAACACAAGTGTTCCCAACGCTTTTTATATGTGAATCAAAATCTAACCAATATTTACTTGCTTGTCAGAGGTTACATATGTCTGAGTTGTAAGCAGAGGGATGTTCCCTTCTCATATTTCTTTTTTTGGAACGTTCTTAGTGGCCTGAAGTGAGTAAAATCTTTGCAATAAAAAAGCAGATCATGATACCTCAGATTTATAGCCACCCTTTGGGGAGACTCGCCCCAACAAATGGAGCAACACCTATACACATATATACTCATGCCTCGCTCTCCATCCCAGTTTCCTATCTCTTCCTCTGCTAGGTCAATGCCACCGCTGCCCTGCATCAGTATAGCTGCACCACCACCACCGGCAGGCTGCGGCCTAATATTTTTGGTGTTGCAGCCTAAACGCCAAACTACTGCTGCAATAAACATTTCAAACGTGGGTTGTTTGACTGAACTACTATCATGGCACAGAGTCCATCTCATATCTGCCTGTTTCTGCAAAGAAAAAATGGTCCTAACCGTGGTCAGTGTGACCAGCTCTCACATTCAAGAACATATTGATACGTGTGCATTTTGTGATTTGCATAGAAATCCAGATGATTCCCCTCCATTAAACTCATTATTAATTTCCCACATTTTTCTATTTTTCACTGAGTACCAGGACTTCTGATTGTGTCCACATGAGTACCCTTACTTCTTACCAGGTACCACCTTTTCTGGTGAACATGGCTGTACCATTGAGGTGACCGCGGTCCAGACCTCAACCCCCCAACCACCTCAGCATTTCTAAAGCCCTGCGTACAGCAGTGCTGGTGACACAGGTGTAACTGCTTCTCTGTGTAAACACAGCTCGCTTGACACTAAGTAAACAGCACTGAAAATGTCCTTGTTAAAATGGATTAAAAACAGCACAAGGATTAGGGTTAGGACTGTACTGAATTAGGGAACTGGCACCTTTTTTGATCCAGTTCAGGCACTTGTTTAACAAGTATTATTGATTGAAAGGAATATTAACTCTTTGTCTTCTGTGAATTTCTGCAGTGCTGGAATTGGTCGAACAGGCACGATTGTGGTGATTGACATGATCATCGAGACCATTGACACTATAGGTAAGATACAAATAGAGATACATTAGTTGAGTAAAAACAAAACCATTCAAAAATACAAAGCTTATTTCTCTTTTTTTCGTCCATCCAACGCTCTCCTATCTCACTTCTCTCTGTAGGTCTGGATTGTGACATTGACATCCCAAAACACATCCAGATGGTGCGAGAGCAGCGCTCTGGCATGGTGCAGACAGAGGCCCAATACAAGTTCATCTACCTGTCTGTGTCTGAGTACATACAGACCACAAAGGCCAAAGACTGCGCCTACATGGTGAGCAACAGGGACAGAAAATCCAGGAAGAAGACTAACAAACACAGGACAGGAATTAGTCTTTTATTGTGGCTGAAATATAGATTGATACAAGGAAAACAAGAGCGAGTTTCAAGAAAAGAAAATAGAGATATGTATGTCAATAGGCGTTTGCACTTATGACTGCTGATTTGAACACCGGAGCGGATTAGTTCAATACCAACAATGATATGTTATCAGAGAGTGGCTTGAGAAAGATGAACGTTGACCGCAGAGGCAGAAAAAAATCCATCACAGACAAAAACGGTCGCATGATCTCTCTCTGTATTTGAGTAATCCTCCAGTCATATCCGAAATGTCTCTGTTTCTCTCTTCCTCAGGAAACCGAGACAGAGTATGGAAATCTGCAGCTCAAACACCAACCAGCAAGCAGGAAGGTCTCAAAGTAAGTGGGCGGGTGTGTGTGTCTGTCTTTAACACAGTGTGTGAATTGGTTGTCCTTATTACATTCACATGGCTCCTCTAAACCTCACATTGCCGCCCTACTTTCTTTTCAAAAACATGACTTAGTCAGCACCTTCAGCCTCAGCAGTCTCATTCTGCAGAGAGACGAAGTTGTGGGTGGAGGGAGGATGCAATGTAGTGCAGCTGGACTCAATTTCATAGTTATTTTTTAATCTGGGGACTACACTGCAAAAAATTATTCACTTTAACAAACAGTTTTATATTAATTTGAGTCTTAAAATAAACAAGCACTGTTTGTAGTCTAGTTTTAACCCTTTAACCCTTTTAACTCTTGTGTAAAATCTGATTAATGTATGAGCTATAGAGCCTTTTACCACAGTGTAAGCAAGTACCAGTATGTACCATGTTCTTAACAAGGAGCCCTCAAACAAGTTCAGCATGAGGCCATCAGGAAATTATTTACATTTTTAGGGCACTGCACATAACGATGCTGGTTGGTAAGTCGGCCTACCAGCCTGAGATATTTCAACGACTACTGGATGGATTGTTATGAGTTTTCATTTAGTGCCACCAGTAAGTTTTCACTTTGACCTGTAGTAAATATCATAAACACATACTTGATAGATTGCCACAAAATTGTGTACAGACATGAAGTTCCTACAGTAGTTGTCAGACACAAAAACTGAAGCAGTCTAACAGTGAATCTAATTCCATCGTGGTGACTTTTTCTTTTGCTGTTTGTGGGGAGTGGAAGTCAAAATCAGCCATCACCACCTCCTGGTGGATCCATTTTTATTGCATTTAACTGTTCTGGCTGACCAGGGCATTAGAGACAATATGAACATTTGTCACAGCTCCAGTGAGCACTATAAACTGAACACTAAATTAATCCTTTCACCATAAATATTTAGACAGATTTAAAAAGGAATCATCAAAATCAAAGCAAGAGAAGCTAGATATCGTTTAGTCTGCGTCAAGCTCCAAAAAAAAATGCTGCATCCTACAATTCACATAATGCAGCTTGATATTCTTTCCTTAGACATCTCAGGGTTATTTTTTTTTAAACTTTAGAAAGTTCCCTCCAGAGCAGCAGAATACATTATAAAACAGTTCTCCCTCCTTGTGATGATTAAACTGAACATCATGTTTAAAATCAGAGGAATGTCCCTTTAATAGATCACAGACTTAAACAAGACAATAGATACACACCAAAACACCCCGCTCGTCTGTTCTGTTGTCTGAATTATGTTTTTGTGACCTCTGCCCTCGTGAACTGAGCAATGTTCTGATTAATTAGTTTACAGTTTACAGCACTGAACGGTTCAGGCCCAAACGCTGTTGATTCATGGTTGGTTTGGTCCGTTTAAATCGTTCTCATGCAGCAGCCCTGGTCATTAACCTCTCCAGTGTCTACGATTCGCTTCACAAAACTGTGTCTAATCAATGTTGGCTGGAATATAAAAATACACCGGATGGAGGAAATCACTAATCAGCTGTTTCTTTGTCTATTCCCAGAAGCAAGGACGACGTTTACGAGAATCTGTCAAAAGGCAAGAAAGATGTGAAGAAGCAGAAGTCCGACAAGAAAAGTGGCTCAGTGAGGAAAAGATAGAAAACACTGAGAGGTTAAGTTTTACCAAAGTATGTCATATTGTTATATTTATGCAGGCACTGTTTTGTTAAAGAATTTGTATTTTGGTGGAGACCTTATACAAAATAAAAATTAAAGTAGAGACAAGATAACCCGTTGACATCCGATATGTCACATGAATGCTTGGTTGATGCATTTGTTGAAAATAAAGAACATGTGAAAACGTGCAATTGTCTTCTTTTTAATTTCCTTTATTTGAACAACCATCATCTCTGTGGGATGCTTCGATATTTAAGATGAAAGATCAGCTGCTTTGTCGGGTTTCAGCAGCAGACGTAAAGATTTCATCACTTTAAGTTAATAAAATCATTTTGTTTATCCTTTTTTCTTTCCGCCCTCTCTTGAGCCTGAACCACAGATTGTGCTCAGAAGTGTGTGTAACGCTAACACCAGACAGAGTGGAGTTGTTAAAGGTTTGATAACATTAGTATTTCTGATAGTCCTATCAGTGTTTAAGGCAATTGTTGTTTCCAAGAACAAAATCTACTGCTGGACCTTGATATTGTCTCTAAATCGGTATTTTAAATCATTGACTACCCTACCTGACCCGTAAACCATGTAAACTAATTGCCATAGCAACACAGTCACAGCTGAGACACCAGTGCTCCCACTACAATTCTTCCTCCTTTAAAACAGGAGTCTCTGTCAATCTAAGAATTAGTAGATCTGTACAGAACAAAATGATTTATAAACACATAATATTTATTTATTTATTGAATATTAACATTAACATTGTAGAAACAGAAGTTTATAAACTGACTGCAGCTTTAAGTCTCAGAAACCTTTCAAACTGGCTCCCCAAGATTTTCCTTTTAGACATTTTCAAATATAAAATACAATTTATACTATAGCTTGACTGAATACTTGTTGGTATTATTTACTGAGAGATCTGTATCCATATTAACCAGTATGCTGGTAACATTTTAAAGTCAATATTTAATAAATAGTCAATGTAAATCCATTGCTTTACACAGTTGTAACTAAACCTTGACTGAGAGGCTTGATAATCATTATCTTGTCTGTGAGGAGAGCCATCACACCCATATATTGTCTGGACTGGTGCCCAGAGACGCAGATTATAAACACTGCTCCCGTCAGTCACTGCCAGCTGTTAGTGAGACCGGCAGAGTGGAGAGAGATCAACGTCAACTTATTGTTATTTACTGACATCAAATCTGGAAATAACACAAGTTTACCTGATTCCACAATTCACTCTCCTGTTGGTTTGTTTCCCCTCTTTTTCTGACGGATAATCTGATCTCCTCTCATCAAAGTTGCCAACACTGACACCTGCTTTGACACGAAGGGGTAGGAGGGGCCCTACAGGCAGCATGTGTAGTGTGTGTGTAGTGCGGACCGGCTCTGTATAGAACTACAAGTGTGTTAGAGGCTAAAACCAGATGGTGTGGTTAAAGGTTTGATTACATTATAATTTCAGTGGTTTAGTTCACTGCTGTTTTCAAGTTCTTAAAGTGCTCAGAACGAAATCTTCTGCTGGAGTATTTCAGACAATCCTATCAGTGTTTCAGTCAACTGCGGTTTCCAGGTACAGGAATGAACTTTGAACTCTAGCTTTTAAGTCCTTAAAGTGCTTAGAATCTGCTGCTGCTGAACCTTGTGCTTGTCTCTGCTACCTCAGTATTTTAAATCATTGACAAACACAAAAATGCTGATTGGTCATCTATAAATCAAGCTCATTTGGTAAGTTGTCAAATAATACAGAGTTGACCTTTAACCTGTACTGTAGCTCTGGGAAATTGAGTATTTATGTACCATAAGAGTGTGTCTCACTGAATCTGAGATAACACTTTGCCTCTTGCCTTGAGATAACCCAGTGCTGGAAAGTAACTAAGTACATTTAATAAACAATTTTGAGTTAATTTATTTATATTTTATGATACTTATCTATACTCCGCTACTATGTGTTTTCACTGCTCTACATTTATTTGATAACTTTAGTTTGCAGAATCAGATTAAAAATACAAAAGAGAATTTAAAATAAATCACAATGTATTATTATGGGAAAAAAATTAAACCCTTATTGATCCTTTGGAGACGTTCACAAGCTGTGCAGCAGCATAGTGCAAAATAAGCTCCACCTTTACCAGCTGCAACATTAAAGCTGCAGTACAAGTAACTTCCTTAAAAATACGTTGTTTTTTTTGTTCATCTGTTGAGTCTCCACAACCTGGGAATGAGACTCAACAGTCAGCTATGTTTCACTGCTCTCATTGGTTGTTTTTGTTCAGGCATGGCAGACTTTTGCACATTATTATATTTATTATCATCTCTCATGAATTACAGTCAGCAGTTAAAGTGTTCAGCAAATATTAAAATAAGTAATCTTATATGAGTTAACTACTGCAGCTTTAAAGTAATATCCACATATATGTTAATTGAGTTGCAGTTTCCCCCCACCCACCGCCTGTTTTGGGGGAATCTGAAGCACCGCCTCTTTCTGCAACTGATCCCTCTGAGTATTAAAGCATTATTAGGAAGATGCACGAACCTCCCCCCTTGCATTTAGGCCTGCAGAAGAAAAAAATCACACACACACTCAGTCTGAGTGAGCTTACGGGAAACGATTTCCCAACTTCAGTGTGAGTCTCCACCAAAAGAGGAGTTAACATAGTCGCACTGTGGAGTCGCCTGCAGCACAGAGCAGCTTCAGACTGCGTGCAACAACGCGAGCGAGTCTTATTTTACGCGCATTTCCCCTCCGATCCAAGGCATTGTTCCCCAAAAAAAGGTTGCGGAAGTGATAGTGATACCGCACCAGGCACCCAGCTCATCTGTGGGATCCAGAGTTGAGTCAAGGCAAGAAGGAGAGAAAGTAGAAACTGCAAAGGAGTTTTTGGAGGGAACAAAATGTCAAAACCGAATTACTCTGGCACGTTTCATATGGTTGATATGGACAATATGGACAGCTACCTCGCAGCTTTAGGTAAGACTTACATCAGTGTACTTTTTTTTTTTTTTTTTTTTTTTTTACAGCTGTAACACAAAAAATGTCCAAACAAGCTCAGTTAATGCAGACTTTTGTTGCCCTTTCACAAGTTTTTACTGCTTTAAGGTCATTTTTCCCCCACATCTTGAATCACTCATTTCAAGATGTGGCTCATCTTTAGTTACAGCAGCACATATTAGAGTAATGAAGTCACCATCTTGTCCTTTATATGACCCCACATCCACACAGAGTACAATCACTGTATCTGAGTGTGGCAGACCTCCCTTTTTTAATAAACGCACAGTAAAGTAATTCTCTCTCCTTATTAACTCCTCTCCTCTCAGATATTAATTTTGCTCTGAGGAAGATTGTGTGTCTGCTGAAGCCCACCAAAGAGATCACCCATGATCCGGTCACAGGAGACATGAAGATCCGCACTCTCACCACCTTCAAGAACTTCAACATGGATTTCACCATCGGAAAAGAGTTCACTGAAGACCTGGGTCCAGTGGACGGCCGTACCTGTCAGGTGTGTGTTGTTGTTGTTGTTGTTGTTGTTTGCCTGAACATGCACACTGACTTGTTTGGACATGCGTGCATGCTTGCTGATACAGTGGATATACAGTATCATTACTTGTTACACAAGTTGGTCTTGTGTGTTTAATTAGGCATGTTTGAGGAAACTTGAGCCACCTACTGCTGTGATTTTTGTGTTGTAATCACCCCCTGCGGCTTAAATCCCGGCTTGGGCCTCCAAGAAGTGATGTGTGTGAGAAAGCAATGAATACAGTCGTCAGATTACAAGTCCATTCAAAAAACTAGTGCATGCATCAGAATTGTCAGCATTATCTTACAAAACAAAAGAAAAAAAGAGCAAGCGGAAGCAAAATAAAAGGCTTTGAACTCATGGCCACCCATTTGCACAGCACAAAGACTCTTGCCCCTGTGTGATCGAACGTGTGAGCTACTTTACATACTAATTGCACACAGTAACACACCATCTCTGTGCTTTTACAGACTACAGTGAACTGGGAAGGGGATAAGCTGGTTTGTGTACAGCGAGGCGAGAAAGAAGGAAGAGGCTGGACGCACTGGCTGGAGGGCAACAAGCTGCATTTGGTAAGGACGTATGGATGGAGTGAAAAGAGGAGAGATGGGGAGAGAGGATGCGGAACAAGGAAAATGAAAACACTAAAGGAAAAAGATGCCAAAATTGATATGCTAATTGTGGAGAACATGCAAATAAGATAAGAGTTTGGAAGTTATTCATTACCCTTTTCAGTTGCACTATGCTGTCTTTGTGGGAAGAAGTTCTTTAATAAAAGGTTTGTGGACCTTTGTGCATGCCAGAGGGGGAAAACCCCAACAAAGAAATGCAAACACAAAAGAGGCAGAAGACTCTTGAATGCATGTCCTTAATAAAGTGCTACAATAACTCTGGACCAGGGGAGAGGTTTGATTCTTCTCATTTGTAAAAAGCATGTAAGCTTAAAGATTATCTGTCAGTGCCGATTAAGATTTAAGACAATCAGTATTGTTCCACTAAATAGCTCTCTAATACCTCTGCAGTGAGGACAAAGCAACGTGTTGTTGATGTTGTGTCCGAACTCTGGGGGAGAATTGGGAAAGAAATGCCAGCGAGGATCAGGGCTCTAAAATGGTGGATTTTAAAAGGTTACACAAAGCAGGAGAAAGGGACCAGTGAGAAACTAATGAAGAAGGATTGTGGTGGGGTGGGGGGGAGAGATGGAAGAGGAAGGAAGGGAGGGAGGGAGGGGGGAGAGTGGGCTGAAAGGAGGCGTAGGAGTAGATGGTGAAAAGAGTGGGAGACGGATTACGAGGTCAAAGGATGAGGAGAGGGAGAGAGGAGGGAAAATGGGATTGTGTTTTGGATACAATCCCAGGTTTGTGTATCACTCATTTAACCCTCCTTTGATGTGCCAAACTGTCTGTATTAATTCTCCCTTTTCATTTACACCCCCAACCCCCTTTTTCCTCCCCTCCTCTCCCCCTCCCCTCCCTCCTCAATGGTCTTTTTCCTCTCTGCAGGAGATGAGAGTTCAAGGTGTGGTTGCCAAGCAAGTCTTCAAGAAGGCTGATTGAAGTAATACAAAGTGTTTTAGTGGATAACCTGAAATTATTCTTAATAGAATATAGTTAAGTTACTTGGTACAAGATTAATGTTTATAGTTTTGTTTTTTAATTATAATCCACATTATTTTGAAATATAATGAGACTGGATATGTGTTAAAATACTGGCGTGAACATGTTCTTAATTGTTTCTGTCTACTAACTGAGAAAAGAGCAGCGGAGCAGATTTACTTTTGTAAACATTCCCAGGATGCTTCTATCGTAACAAAGTTATAAACAAATCATACATCTGTCTTGTGTCACTGCTACATCTTTATTCCATCATTCTCCAACTTTAAAATGTCAGTAGCATGTGTGATATTATCTTTATCATATAGTTTTATAAATACAAAAAGTCAGTGGTCAGAATTTATAATACAGTGTAAGAAGACTTTTTTCAGCCTGGTTGGAACAATATAAGTTAAATTAGATATCCTTTAAAATATAATTACAAAGACGCAGTTCACATTAAAGGATGTAAAAAAAATATTATTTATTTTTAAATGTTAAATTGTTATTATCAACAAATCCCATGAAAACACCAACGATTGGTTAGTCCGTCTTTCAATTTTCAGGCTTTTCTGTGGCACTCGGCCCATTGCTTCTTATGAAGATGTTTTTGTTTGTTTTTTAAAGGCCACAAAGTTTCATTTAGAAAAGACACATTTTCTTAAACAGCAGGGAACTGTAGTTTTTAGCAATTTAACTCAAACAGGAATAAACGCTGCAGATTAATGTACATTTACAGAACAAATTTAAACTACAGTGCCTGTGTTCATGGTAACGAAGGAACATGTCTGCAACAATGTGTCTCATTGATGTTTTTTTAAATATTTTAGAACAATGGAGCTCTGTGGCACACAGGAATAAGCTACTTCAGACTCGGACTACACAAATAATTGGGGTACATTCATTGTCGGCTGTTGGTTTTGGTCTTTTCGTGAGATTTGTCTAAAGTAAGAAATCTATAGAATATCAACAGAGTTACTTTTAAATAGACACCACTAAGCTGTAAAACACAAAAACCGCAGACAGCGCTGCTTTCACTTGTGAAGCTCCTATCTAATACTTATTCATATCAAATGAAATTACTGAAGCACAGAGCTGCACCCGTGTAAATACAATACATAAATATCACATCACTCCTGCAGGGGGCAGCAAACTTTCTTTCTCTCTCTCGTATAAATAGATCCAGTTTAAAGTTGGAAAAATGGTTGCAGAATCTGGCTGGAGAGGGACTCTGGACTTTAACAACAACATTTACTTGATTATGTCCCGCACCACTCGTCCTCCTGTGGCTCTGAAAAGGTTCTTTGGAAGTTGCTGGTGTAGTATCCAACACTTCCATTCTTGTTGCTGGATTCAGCGAACGAAACTGTAACCTTCAGTGGAGTTATAGGACGGCAGCTGTCCATGCTGTCGTGTGTGCCGTCACTGACCGCAATATCATCTGAGGAGGATAATAAAATCAATGTTAAGTGTGACCATCCTTCAAAGTAATGTTACATCTAACACACTTTGCAGTTTGTGATTTATGGCCATCTTAATGGGGCTGAAAGAATTTATGAGCGTGGGACTTAAATATAAGCTAGTGCTAGAAAAAGCAATACATTTTTCATTCTAGTCTATTCAAATTTAAACATAAAGTGTTGAGATGAAGTGTATAGACTCTGAGTCTTTGAAACGCTGCAGGAAGGATGAACACCAGTCTTTAAAAGACCCCCCACCCTGCATTTGTTATGTGTTTCTTTAGCTCTTCATTGAGATTTTTCCTTTAATTTGTCACCCCTGTACATCTTCATCTTCATTTTCGGCAAAAACACTGCAAATATTGTAACAATGATAGCAGGAGACTTCAAAGAGGTACAGTTGATATATATATATATATATATATATATCAGTGACTTTATAAGACTAAACATGGCTAAAGCATCAGTGTTTCTACTATACTGCACATTTCTAAAAGACACCAAACATGAACCCCAGTGTCTCTGGTTTGACTCCCCTCACTGTCACCTCTCTACTGTCAAAAACTCTAATAAAGGCATAATAATTGCCACAAATACTTAAAAACAACCCCTAAAAATGTTTAATTGAGTATAGCTGGTGTGTGTCTGCAGGCACTGGTTCAGGGATTTGTTACCTGAGTTAAAAGGTGGTAACTCGCAGCCATTCACAATGCAACTCTCTTGGCAGTAACCTTTCAGCTCCGTAGATGGTAGAGGCAGATCCAGCAGACTGTTGCGTTCAGCTGGAACCATTTCAATCAGCTTAACAGGAACACTGGAACTGACTGTCACACATGGAAAGTACAACGAACAGGGTCAAAAAACAACATAATTCAATATTATTCTTACAAGTTAACTCTTACGACATTGATTAAATGTCTTATAGGGATGAATCATTGATTATTTGGAAGCCCTGTATGGCAAGTGAGAAGAAAAATCCAGTGATTCACTTTTTTAAGTCTGATCGAAGTTGTTTTCTCAGCTATGATTTACGATTATTATTATGATGTTCTGATTAACAGGATAATCTTGCTGGCAGAAAGGATAATAGTTTTTAATTTGATAAAAAAAAAAAAAAGGTGGGAAAATAGGTTTTACCAAGAGGAAAAGAAAATCCTTTTCCGGGATTATTTTTTTAAATTAGAACATGTGGTAGTGGTGCACTCTCTTGTGGCTAAAATGAGTATTACAACAACAAACACTAGGAAAAATTATCCTGGCAAAACTTTTTCCCCCTCCACCTGTTTCACAGATTATTGTTTTTTTTAAATAAACTCATTTCAGATCATAATTTTTACCCGATCTTAAATCAATCATGGAAAAAAATATTGTGATCAGACTGAGAAAATGGATCACCACAACCTTTTTCTCTAACTTGCCTCTCAGGGCTTTCCTATAATAATTACTGACAGTTTGAATTGTGTTAAATACTTAAAGCATACTTCAGATACATTGGTAATTCATTATCTGCAATGATATTGATTGGCCTGTAGGTGGCACTTTAATCTCTCAAAAATCAGATTAAACTCTGCAGCCAGTGTGATATGTGATAAGTATCTGGACAGGCTGAGCAGCGTTGTTTCCAGGAAACGTTCTTCATACTTCTTCATTAGTAAAACAAATTCAAACAGCTCAGTGTGATTCAAAATTAAAATCATATGATCTTTAAAGTATCGAACACTCCGCACGCAAACTTGAAAGACAATTGTAAAAGGTTCGTAGTTTCCTTTTTACAGAGAAAGAGATTGTGGTCAGATTTGACTCACAGCAGTTACACTAGATTTCCAACAGTGTCAAGTTTTTCTGGGGCGGAAAACAGTTAAAAAAAAAAACTTCAATAAAAACGTGTCAATCCACCCCTGCAGCATAATTCACTTTTCTGCTGTTCATATATGTATGCTCAGTATCTTCCAAACAGTCATCAATTTGCCATTACATGACTAGATACTCTCCTTTTAGTATAGTTTTTGCATCAATATTGGATTTCACTGAAACCATCTCAAAGCTGACAGCTTTGTCTGTGACACTGTTCAAGTTTTACAATAAACTTTCAAACCTGCTCGTGTAGTACCGGTAACGGATCCTCAGGGGCCCACCGTTCATTGTGTGTCAGTTCGTTTGAGGTAATTTGATTAATTGTAAGATGCACCACTGAAGCACAATAGTGGCTTAAGGCGTGTCCTGCATAATTATCTGTCCTGTCTAACAGCCTTCTAGAGACCTTGTTGTGTCCAGAGTTATTTCTGTTAAACATTTTTTATTAGTTTTTATGTTTTCAATTCAGTTTAGTTTCAGTTAGTTTTGGATTTGCAGTGCTAGTTTTTATTGTTTAAAAATGTAAAATTTTAGTTCAGTTATTAGTCTCAGTTATAGTTATAGTTTTCTTTGTTAAAATATGGGAGGTATTTGAGATTTAAGTAGTTCAGAATAGTTATTACAATAGAAACACATTGATATCCCAGTCTCAATAAACAGATGCACCGATGCCTCCTGATGCTTGCTGTGTTGACAAATTTGACCAAATTGACGAAGACTAAAACTAAAGACATTTCTTTTATATTTTTTTATTTTAGTTTGTTATGTAAATACACAATATAATTTCACTTAGTTTCCCATTTTTTCTAAAGTCTAGTTTCTATTTCAGTTTACTCAAATTTTTAGTTTAGCTATAATAACTGTGGTTGGGTCTAACCAAATTACAACAAACAGGGACCCACATCTTATTTAATCTCCCCACAGTGGGTTAATCTGTCCATCATTCTCCTACTCCCACTGAACATCACGTTCTCAGTATATGCGACCTGGAGGTTTCCACATTTTACATGTGTAAGTTAGACAGTTGGCAATAATGTCAGACACTGTTACCTGAAAACCGAAACTATCCTCATGGCACCATACTACCACGAGAAGGAAAATATGTCTTTTTTTAATCTATTTGACTGTATTTAACCCTTTGAAGAAACCTACATGCAGGGGCGGATCTAGAGAAGTAATGTATGAAGTGATATGGAGACTTTAAGGGGTGGCAGAAATATATGCTAATTAAATCGCATATCTATATTTGCTTGGAAAGGCACCAAAATGAATTTATTTTAACTCAAAAACATCACATTATAGTGGCACATTATTGAATAAAAATATTTAAAGTGGCATTAGAAATCAGTAAATTGTTTTATTTATAAAACGTTTTTCCAAATACATGTTTTTTCATTGAACTTGAATGAACCTATGTTTTTTTTTTTTTTTTTTTTGACATTTGACTTCAAACTGATGTTTAGATAGTCAAGAAAATACAGATATATTGTGATAAGAACAAAGACTCTCTTACTGGCAATCATTGACCTCAGTCGGTGTCCCAGTAAAATTCTTAACTGCTTATCAACTGCTGCAAAAAATGTGACCACAAATCTGTTCTACGCTGCTACAACCTTTTAAAAGTGACAACTGGCACTTCTCGTTTGAATCTCAGATCTTAATCAACACTCTTGTTCTTGAAGTCCAGCCTTCTATCGTTACTTGTCTTTCATCTGTAAATTCCAGTATTGGCACATTACTTCACTGGAAATACAGTAAATGTAATACAACAGAACTTTAGCCAAAACAATCAAATGTGGAACTGTGCTACATACGTAGGACCTATTTCTCAGTATGAGTTAGCTGCCTGTGATGTATGCGTCACATTATACTCTATAACTGTGTCAGCCTGAATATGTACAGGATGTGGTTTCCCCATTCAGTTGGTCAGGCTCATCTAGCTTCACGATATACGGTTCCTTATTTAACCTGTCTGGGTTATACTAACTAATAAATATTCTGCTTTTGTTAAAAAAAAAAACCAACAGAAAGTACACAAGTGCACTTCTCTTACACCAATGACCTCCAGACCACTACATAATTAACTCTCATTATGCAAAAAAAAAGTTTTTTTTAATAAATTCAGTCTACAGGAAAACAGTGGGAGGGTACATTTGAAAGAGATGAGCAGCAACCTTCAACTGTATGACATCAAAGCCAATTGTGTCTCACAGTTGTGGCTAACAACATACGTAGGCTGCCAGTACGTAGGCAAACCTGTACACTGTTTCATCGCCTTGTCAGGAAGACAAAGAACAAAAGTGTGTGAAAATCAATGATGAAACACACCTACACGTATGACACAATAGTACACACCTGTTCTGGATGACTTGCGTTTTTCCCTCCAGCAGATGAGACCAAACAGGACAAGTGCGGTCAACACGAGTCCTGACCACAGGCCTGCGGGTAACATCCAGTGACAATCTGATAAACAGAGAGAGAGACGGGGGTTTTACAGGGACCCAAATACATTTTAATCACTTTATTTCTTGTGATTGACATCCGGTAAATAAAGTGGGAGTGAGTGATTACTGAATACCGCTCTTGTTCCCACATACGCTGTATTATATAATTCATAAAATGTCTGTAGGCTTTCTCTTTCACATGAGAATGATATCAGAGCAGTATTTATTTTATTATTAATTATTTATATTTATATTCAGTATATTAACACTTTATAACACACTGTAATATGTGTAAGGTTTTATGACATACATTACACAAGTGTCAACAATCGTAACTCCTCTTATGAATCATCCGTAGATGTTGTAGAAACAGCACATGAGCAAATCTTTACAGTGTGTTAAAAAACGTTTATGAACTTTTTATATATTTAAAACAGTATAAATGTGATCAACATGAAATTATATACACACATACATATAATATTACTATCTTAGCATTCTAATATTATAAAAATGTTTTATACTTTGTTTACAGTGTGTTATAAACATTTAAGGCATATCTGGGATTAAAATTAAATGTTGCTGTTGTCTCATCAGCCCCTCGTGGCTGGAATAGCCTTTTTTCTTTGTGTTATGAAAACCTTTTGTTTCCAGATTTAAAAAAAAAAAAATGTCTCAGGTAAATTTTTCACCTGATTACTTGATGTGTTTTACTGCTTATTTGACTGGATTAAACTGCATTAACTGCTTCACACACTGATCTCACAAAAAATAAAATCTTTGATGACTTCGGTACAGAGTTGAAACACACAAGTAGGAAAGCAGTGTTTTTATCTATTGAATTTTTAAGTGTAACGTCTAAAATTGGACTAAATTCTTTGCATTGTGTGTCAGTACAGTTCTGTAGATCAGCCAGCTCTTAGTGTTCACTCTGTTGTGTTTTTCCCAGCCTCAAACTAACTCTCGTGGCATTTCAGATCCAACCGCTCCCTCTTGCCCTTTCCTGGCATTCCCATCACTTGAACTTCCCTGCCCACCTGTTTCCCATTTCCCTCATCAGTCTTATTCTCTCAATTACTCATTCTCACCCCGCCTGACCCCTTTTTAGAAAAGTTTGCCCGTTATGATCCGCCTGCCTGGTTTTGACGATGAGTAAACGTGAACATTCACTTAACCTGGCTGTCTCTGAGTCAAAAGATAGTTTGAGTTCAAGCCTGTCATTCTCCGAGCCCTCACAAGATCAGGTTTATATTTGAACATTGGATATCTTCAGCAAATTCCTCCCACTCTCACCCCTCTTCACTTTTGTACACTGGTAAACAAAACTCAACTTCTGTCACCCGATTGGATACTTTGACCTTTGTAACTTGTACTGGCCTCATTTTGTTGGCTGGGTTTTTCTTTTAGTGTCTGTTTAGACAAATAGACGATGGCGCCTGTGTGCGACCCTCCCGTTCCAAGTGTGTTGGAGAAACTATGGTGGCTGCATAACATGAAATACATGCCCTATCTAGATCGGATCAACATGGTGGACTTTCAGGTGATTACACTCAAATGAAAACATACCTATGACTATTTTATTCCATTTCTATCAATAGATCCTCCTAAATATGACACACTGGACCTTTAAATCTCACAGGACCTGTGTTCTACTTTGTTTATTTGTCCTGAATAAGTCTCAAATGACCTTACTTTTGCTGACAGGTAGAAAAGAGTATATTAAGGTCTTAGCTTTGAAATGGTAAACTTTGTAAAGTTCTTTGACGATAGCCTAGCATGTCCACAACAGCCATTTATTTTAGCCACGCTAGCACCAAGGCTCCATGGTAATGTTGGTTGGTCACTTTGGTTTACACTAAAATTCCCCAATTGGTTGGATTGGGACTACATTTTACCATGTGGTTGACCCCCTGAGGATGAATTGTAATCTTTCAGGTGATCCTTTTCATCTTTTAATTTACAATACTTGTGTCTATGATCAAGTCTTGCAAAAGTAACTAATGTTCCATCTTCCAAAGCTTCAGCTTTACTTTATGTTTAGTGCAAATTAACAAATATTAGCATTCTACAGTAAACATTAAACCTGCTTAGAATCATAGTCAAAGTACAGCCCCACAGAGCTGCTAGCATGGCAGCAGTCTGCATGCCACAACTACTGACGTACTGCAGCTCCTTCCTCAAACATCGTGAAACAGTCCCCTGAACCTGTCTAGAGCCAACCCACAAATTCTTTGACATCCCTCCCCTTCTACATCCATTCATTAAGGTACATGCTGGGCAGTACATTTATAACCCTGGTAGCCTGGTAGTGAAGTTAATGCCATGGTGCAATCCTACACACTTGTCAATATTTAGTATTATGTCACTCACAGCTGCCTCCACTCAGACTCTTTTCCTTATACCTATGATAACTGATTTTCTTTGGCCTCATGGGGCCATCTCCTTTATTTTGATATGGGGAACTTGTTAACAAACAGTTGCTTATTTACAAATCCAGCAGTTATGGATTAAAATGATCATTCATAGTTGTGTTTCTGAGCACCTTGTGAATGTAAGTCCAATATTCACTCTGCTTTTAGCTTTGTTATTGGTCTCTATCTACTCCTGAGGGCAGGTAAATGCTCCACTCCACTATGTTCACCAGCTAGTCGCTAACTGTTGGTTGGTTTTTCCACTGAAAACAGCTGCCTGTTAAAGCTGCAATTACCATTTACAGCCAATTACAGAATCTCTCCATATCCTACTAACTGCAACAATTACTCTCTGCCTTTGGTATGACTTCTCATTCGACTTCTACTTCCTCTCTTAATAACTTGATCATATGACATTTAGGAACTGAAGGTCAACAGGAACCCATTGAGTCACTGAGAGCATCCGCTACATTGCACAAGTTAATTGTTTTTTCAGACCTAAAAAAGTTTTGAAATGAGATCTGAAGAGATGATGCACATATCAAACGATGAGCCTTATGGTAAAAAAAAATGGAGACCTACCAGTTTTAAAGTCACCACAGATGGCATCAGTTGTTTTGGTTCCAGGAGTTTCCAACACTCTCCTGAAGTCCTCGCATCTAAAAAACAACATTCAGAACAGAAACTAATCAAATATCCAGATACCGTACGGTATTTTTACAACCAATTACAAATGGGAAAATGTATAAAAAGTTTCAGCTCTAGAAACAGCAATACCATTCCTACAATATGGACAAACCAACATATGGTTACAGAAAATGTGATGTGGGATGTTTCGGGTTGTCAGCTGAAACCAAATCAGTCATTTCTCTCGACGGCTGACTAATGAATGATTCACTCACATTTGATCACATTACATACATCGACATCCTCCTTCAGCTTTAATAATAGTAATAACGGTAATAGAGGAAATGCAGTCTGACCTGGTATGTTTTTGACATGGTGAGTGGAAATCTGTTACGTTGCTGTAGGTCCCTTCTTCACAAGGAGCACAGACGGTGTCATTCATTTGAGTGGCTGCAAGAAGCAATGAGATGTATTTTTTTAGTTGCCAGTTTGTGCTGTATCGTTTAGCAAGATGTACTGGAGAACATGATGTTTTATTTTGCTTTTTACAATGAAAGCATACCTAGAACCTTGACCCCTTTACCCAGTCGGCAGCTGGTAACCGGCTGGCAGTGGTCACAGGCATTATCACTACAGTAGAAACCAGTCACACACTGACACACTGTGTTGTGCTTAGCTCTGCAGTCCGTTACTGTCCTCTGGTTGTAACCTGAAAGAGTCAGAGAGAGACAGTTTGGCCCCTTGAAGTCTCTCCCATATTTTTTATGTTTCAGTTCTAGCTCTTAATAAGGTGACTTCACATATACAGTGACACTCTGACTGGAAGCACTAGAGTGTAGCGACCCACAGCAGTTTATAGACATTACACTTCCTCACTGTGTCCCCCCACCCCCAACAGACAAAAGAAATCCTGCAAACATTTTGTGTCTTTTTGAAGTTGCCTGTGTGTGTCTTTCTTAGTCTTTGTAGTCTTTTGTCTCTCTTTTTGGTTGTTTTGTTTCTATTTGTACTTGTTTGATGGACTCTCCAACAAGAAAAAACTTTGCTTTGGTCCAGGCAGACCCCTTGGACCCCTGGGCCTGTGCCCAGTCTGCCTGTTTAGTAATCCATCCATGGGGAACAGGTGGGGTGACATACAGATTGTAAAGCCCTCCGATACAAACTTGTAATTTTAGGCTATATAAACAGAACTTAACTTGAATAATCCGTTTTAATTCTTCTCATAAGTTGTGAAAAACTATCTGTGTTCACTGAACTTGAGTACAAGTTCAAGTTAATTTTAGATCACAGAAATATGTTCTCAAGTCATTTGACACAAAGGTTTTACAGTCTCTGCTGCTGTTGGTGCCATTTTTGTAGAAAAGACAATACATGAGGCTGCACTCAGTAAATTGAATTAGAAAAGTATGGGAATAATTATTTTTAATGTTGTTAAAATGATCTTATTCCACATTGAGAGTATCATACTTTCATGTAGAAGATTGTTCTAGCTCTTCAGTGAAACTGCATTATGTACAATGAGTTACATATTTAAATGAAACACACTTTATATGGTTGTACTACTGCATGAAATTAGAAATAATCCAGATATCTTGTGCATAATTTTAAAAGTCTTCCCCCCAAACTCAGCATGATACAGTTGGTATCTTTCAAAACGAAAGTTTGGCTACACAGCTGACCCTGACTGAGGAAGTTAGAAAAGGGGATTTGTGATGTTCAAATGAAGAAAAGAATGCCAAAACAGATTTCTGTATATATACTGAACGGTAGCCGGGGGGGGGGAGAGGAAGAACTCCATGTGTCTGCAGTACAGAAAAAGCATGCGTTTGTGTGAATAGTAGTAGTAGTGTATGAGACTTACTGGAACTGCACTGCTTGCAGACGTGACATTTTCTCAAGTTATTCTTTGTGGCTGTGTAGAACCCAGGTTCGCATTCATCACACTTTGTCTTCTCTGTGCCATCACACTCAGCTTTCATGTACGATCCTGATAAGAGTTGAGGAAACAGATAAATACAGAAGAGTCGGATGTCAGGCTGTAATGCAAATACAATTTGTAGAAAGGTTGAATAGTTACACAAAGAACGTACTGTGTTAGGGTTTGCACAGTCCTAATAAGTTTGTTATCCAAATAGAAAAGAATTGTTAGTAGCTGAAACTTTATGATGTTGACTGACCTGCAGGACAACGATCACAGCATCTCCCATTTTCACTGATGTATTTATTCTTATCCGTGCAATTCATTGTGGGTATTTGTTGCCCATTCAATTACTGTCGTCCACCTGTGTGTAAAATATCTAAGCTTAAGACTACAACGACAGTCTTCCTGTACACTCTTCCCTTAGTAAGTGGCAGTAGCTGTTTAATTTATCTTAGCTCACTAAGCATCAGTCAAGGTGCAATCTCTCTTTCGTCTTCCTCTTTTTCTGACACTTATTCACTGCTCACAACTACACTCACTGCCGTCTGATCTGTCTGTTACTATACATGTTTCCCCTCCTCTCTATGCCTTAGCTTCTTCTCATGTCTTTTCTAATCCTACACAGTGGAAAACCCCAGTGACCCTTCTCGGCTGTTTTCCCCCGTCTCTCTGTCTCTCTGCCTCTTACTGTGTCTCTGTCTCTCTTCATTTCCTTCCTGTGTGAGCCCTCTGACTGCGAGGTAAGCAGTGTGTGTTTCCGTGTAGCTACAGGACCAAACGCTGATTTTGGCACTCTAACTGCACAAAGCGTAGCAGCACAATGAGACATTTCCTCTCTCCTCTACACCCTTTCCTTTCACTCCATCTCCATTGTTTTCACTGAACCTTTGTCCCAGTGGCGCAGGGATGTTGTTGAGCTGAAACTGCAAAGAAAAATGTATTAGCAGTCTATCTGAAAAGTCTTTGGCCCAGTCTGTCTTCCTGCCATTTCATTTAAACACAGCTACCCCTTTGTTACTGCAAACATATAAAAAACAATCTACAAATAGATTTTTTAAAATGCCTACGTTTGCAAAATATGAGTGAGAGAGAAAGGGGGGCAGCAAGGAAGAGCGAGGGGTGGAAAGTAAATTATTAAGAAAAGGGGAAGGAGAGATATTGAGTTTATTTGTGAAGAGATTTGACCGGATCACGATGTTACGATTAAGGTGGGTTAGGATTTTAGCATTTTACTACTATAAAACCAATAACTGCATAACTACATCATAATTTGCAATAAATGAGTACTTGTACGATGGAGGGATGTTAATGAATTTGGTTGTGATTTTGTAATTTACGCATAATTGTCTTTAGCTCTTATTGTGTTTTTTAGTGTGACAGGATTTCACATTGAGTAATACTTTTTCTTTCGTAACCTTGTGGTCCTTACATTTCTTCCTTTCCTTTACAATGTGTCACCCCTTCCCTTGAATTGTTTAATCTTCCATACTTTCCCTCAGTCTCCTGCTTCTCCTGCTCGCCCACCCAGCCTGCTCGACACTGCTGGGATGGGTGGAGTCTCCAGGGTATCCCACTGGATACTTGCCCCATGCCAGTCTAAACTGGAGCAGGTGTGCCCCCAAAGGTCACACCCTCTCCATCAGACTCATCCACCTGGACCTGGAGGACAGCAAAGACTGTGAAAACGATGCCGTGAAGGTCAGGGGTCAAAATAAACTTTAAGAAGTCTAGGTTACCAACTGATGTCCGTGCCGTTATCGTACCCACTACAACATAAGTTTCTGATTTTGTATTTTTCCAGGTCTTTTCAAATGGAAACCTAATTTCCGTTCTATGTGGCAAAAGAGAATTTGAGGAACTTCAGTCCACCGTAAATCCCTTGCTCCTCTCCTCCCCTGGTGGCTGCCTCTCTCTCTCATTCCACTCTGACTACTCCAACACCGAGAGGCACACCGGCTTTAGAGGCTTTTATACTGATCAAGGTGAGATGAAAAGAAAACAGTGAAATATTGAGTTGTATGAGTTCCACCAAAGTCCATTGTCTGTGTGCCCATTTTATTTTTCTACATTGCCCAAGGGAACCCAGTTTGTACACGTATTTCATCATTGTGACTACTTTTGTAATCATAATGTTAGGGAGGTAATATTTTTAGACAACAATTCACAATGGTTTATAGCCGTTAAAGCTGACTTGGAAACAGTTTGAGTTGTCTTCAATTTGTAATGAAAATCATGACATGATTTTAGAAGTAGGCCAACATAAGTAAAGTAAGTGCTTTTAAAAAATGTTTAGCATTCAGACTTTCAGTTTCAGTTCTGGTGCTGACAATGCTGCAGTGACTCATCTTCTGTCTACTAGCTTCAGTTATCACAGTCTTTGCTGTAAAGCAGAAAATTAGTTTCGCAAATATAATAAGAAAATCCTGTATGGTGTAGAGCCATTAATTAACTCTGTAATTAAAATCTCAAGAGGGTAGAATTGATGCAGTAAACTGTCTTGACTTTAACCCTCGTCTCTACACTCATAAGCATGAAAAGATTCAGTATCATGTTGACTAAATCTGTCCACAGAGAGAAAGACAGCGAACAGATAAACACCACCAAGTATTCAAAACAGTTTCTGTGGTAGCGCCTGCTACAATAGGCGACTCCAGGACTACGTTTCGCCATGATATCACACACACCACACACAAGGTGAAAGCAAAACCAGCCACCACTGTCATGGCTGGTAAATATGTCACTCAATATCTTCCACTACATACATAAGTCTTTATGATAAGCTAATCGGCTGCTGGCTCCAGCTACATATTTTCCATAAAGACATCTTCTCATTTAACCCTCTGCAAGAAAGCAAAAACGCGTATTTTCCCAAATGCCATTTCTTTAAGATATGGATCTTCTGCCAAATGCCTGTAGTTAATTGTGTAGATATGTGTGACAATCTAGTAGTTAAAGGAAAAGGAGCTTTAAAGAAGTGCACCTCCACCACCAAAACAACACAGCATGGCCAAAAATGTACCAAGAAAATAAAGTATACGGTTTGGTCCTATCCCAGGACCTGGTAGAAGAAAGTGTTTATCAGGAAATACAGAAACCATCAAAAGACCTAAAAGCATATTTCCCAATACCCTTCAGTGTATTGTGTTGCTTGTGTTGCTTTTCTACATTTGACCTTCAGTTAATTTGCTCCTTCAGACTTTGACGAATGTCAGGACGACCCCGAGAACAGATGCACGCAGTTCTGTCACAACTTCATCGGAGGGTACTACTGCTCCTGTCGCCATGGTTACCACCTGGACGTGGACAATCACACTTGCACTGGTAACAAATTACCTCGATATCAGTAGACAGTGCACAGAGTGAGACAAATCAAAAAAAAAAAAGAAATGAACAAAACTGAAACATGAAGTGAAAATAGGAAAATAGAGGAAGCAGAAGCAAACTCTACTGTGGAAAAAAGGAAGGGAAAGAGGGGAATTAGATGAGAAGAAGGCTGATTGTGTAAAACTTATGATTGCGTTGATTAAAATGATGATGTGACGACAATGAGCTCTCTTCTTCAACACAGTGAGCTGTACTGAGGATTTCTCAGGGCTGAACAAAGGTGACATATCGAGTCCCTCCTGGCCTGCTTCATACGCAGAGAATACCAACTGTCAGTACACCCTGTCTGTGGAGGCCCACCTGCAGATGGAGCTGCACTTCTCTGATGATTTTGATGTGGAACAAAGCCCTGATGGTCAATGCATAGACGCACTGAGGGTAGGTTTTAAGTCCCACTATGTAAATATACGTCATAGAGGTGTGTCTTTCTAAAACTTTACAGATCAGAAAACAAAGAGGAAGTACAGACCAAAGTGTTGAAACTGTGGATTCGACAACTAGAGCACATCCTGTTACAGTCATTTTACGGTCTATCTGTGTTACACATTCTGGATTTTTTTTCCCCTAGTGCCTATAAAAAAGATATTAACCTCCTTGAAACAAACTATCAATTTTATTTATATATTTAATGTTCACTTTTAATTACAATGAAGAATACAGTAGATATGTACACCAATGCAAACATTTATTTTGTATTTTATATTTGGGGTGAACCATTTTAGGAAAGGAACATTTGGTTACATTACCTTGTTGTTTTGCAGATTGAGACTCCCTCTGGGACTCTGGGGCCATTCTGTGGCCACACGCCTCCCCCATCTCCCTTCCTCACTCATTCAAATCATGTCCAAATCCGCTTCACCTCTGATGGCTTTGGCACTAACAAAGGCTTCAGTCTCCACTTCAAGACCAGAGGTACTGCAGCCTCCTCAGCTGCGACACAATGGGCAAAGAACGTTAAAGAAGTTTGTTGAGGATCACAAATAATTGTTCTTTTATGTTAATTGCAGACAAGGTTTGTCCAGCAGTGGTAACCGCACACTCCACTGTGGCTCCTCAGCAACCAGAATATCCTCGGGGTCAAACAGTGACAGTCACTTGTGAGCTTGGCTATGTTGCGACTATTGTGAGTGTACAGAGAACCTTTAACAGCCTTACATTTGATTAAATGTAGCCACTAAAAAGCTAATTAAGTTCTCCTGTTTAGCAAAGCACCCAGACCGTTTCATCACAGTATGTGTCCACATGCCAGAGTACAGGAATATGGGCTCCCAATTACATCTGCGAACGTGAGTCTGACTGTAACAAATTATTTTGTTGTTGTTGTTGTTTTTTCACTCTCTCACACTGTTTTTCCACATATTGTTACATGTAGCTGTGGATTGCAGCGTTCCTAATATCCCAAAAGATGGTATCCTTCAGCTGGTGGACGATAACCCACAGACTCAGTATAAAGACCAGATCCAGTTTGAATGCAGTTCAACTTACTACATACTGGAAGGAGACGGTGATTATAGAAAGCTTATACACATCCCTGTTCTGTTGCCTTTCCTGAACAAAATTTTAAGAATTATTTTTATTTATATGCTTTCTTTAATCTTTCAGACACGTACACTTGCAGTGCCAGTGGTGAATGGGTATCAGCTGGCGGCAAGACGGAGATGCCAAAATGCATTGAAGGTATGACTTTAAAGTTATTTCTTATATTTTCTCATATATTATTATCATTTTGGAGATGGTCCCATTGTCATACGAATGTCTGATGACTCTTGTTTATTTCAGAGTGTGGGAAGCCTAAAAAACACCCTGCAAGTGCAGGGAGAATTTTGGGAGGTAAGGATGCACGCCTGGGAGAAATACCTTGGCAACTTTTGATAAGAGAGCCGAAAAGAGGAGGAGCATCACTGATCAGTGACCGATGGGCTGTCACAGCAGCTCATGTCGTGGAAGATCTGGCAGAAACCTCTTTGCGCCTGTACGGTGGACTGGTAGATGGAAGAAAAACAAGAACACAAGCAGGCTTGTCTGACGTAGTTGTCATGGACAGTGAGAGGATCATAATTCATCCCAACTATATTAAGGGCACTGACGACCGCACAGATTTTGACAATGATATTGCTCTTATCCGATTAGCTTCCAGGGTGACTTTAGGCCCAAACCTCCTTCCGATTTGTCTGCCAGAGGCAAACAGGGGCATGGTGGAACATGAGCAAGGTACGGTGGCAGGCTTTGGGAAGACAGACCCAAAGAGGCAGGGTGTCAATTTGGTCACGTCTTACATGTTAAAATACGCTCATATCGGGGTCTACCCCCTCCGTGAGTGTAGGAATACACCTTCAACAGCAACTAACAAACGCATGGCTTTCACTAATAACATGTTCTGTGCTGGAGCAGAAGGAAAGGACAGCTGCCAGCAAGACAGTGGAGGTCCGTTTGTTTTGCCTATGTTGGCTGAGGGCAGAGAGCCTTATTATCTGACCGGCATTGTGTCCTGGGGACCCCCCTGTCAGGAGAGGCAATTCAAGGGTTATTATACCAAAGTGGAGAATTATGTAGACTGGATTAAGGAGACAATTGACAAAATAGACAAAGAAGACAAATCTGAGGAAGAATGAGGAAGATAATACTTTGCTACTTACCAGAATAACGTAACCCATAAAATAAAGACTATAATCCCTTTAATTAACACATTAATAACATTAAACTCTCATCAGATTATGACTTTATATTCAGTGCAAACGTGAATTTACAGGTTTCAACCAACAATATATACTATATTTTTGTCTTTTAATCATTAACAGCTTAGATACACACAAAACATGTTTGTTTTTTTCAGGGCATTTTTTCTTTAATAATTTAGATATTTGTCTCTACTATACTACATTAAAATCTATGAAGTGTGAAGCCTACAGCACCTTGTAAGGAAACATAGTGATATAGCTGGAATAAGTGCCACAATATTGATATATGTCACTTCTTCCACTATTGATATATATGTCACAATATAGCATATGTATGAAAAAACACAAATAAAATAATCCAAATGCTTTTCAGTGCAGTGTGTTTTTTCTTGTTGCAATTTTCTCTTAATTGTTTCGTAGTTTTGAATGTTTACTTTCTCACTTTCTCATTTTAAACTACTTCCTATACCCACTTTTAAAATAGATACAGTTTGGATTGTTTCCTCATCTACAAACAAATCTTAGTTGCTCGTTGTTGTTCTGGTAATATTGCCTCCTCATGTTTGGAGAACAAGCAATGCTCTACTACCACTTAGTGGTGTCAGTGATGGATTGAAATATTAGAATCAAGTAGAGCTTGTTGTTGGAGAATTTATGTGTATCATGCCATCTATTTATCTATTTCTATTTTTCATGACAAATTGTTGGTCTGAGGAGGCCACAGAGACAATGAGGTGCCAGCCTGTCTGATGCTACAGATAAAAGGGGCCTTGGAGAGGCTCCAAACTCCCTCAATAATAATGAATTGAGAGAAACTTTGATTTTCATTATGCAGCCCTGTATTTATCTCAGGATTTACTTTTACATTTGTATTCATGTATATTTTTCTTCAATCATATGATATATGCGCTTTATTTAATCAACCACAATGACATGGTCAGACATGGTCTCAGTTTGATTCTGCTTTGTAGGTAAAGAGTACAATGTTCTCAAATTACTCCTTTGATGTGCCATGATGTGGCAAGCAACAACCAGCTGCCTGAATCAGCTGATTCATCCAAATTTATGGCACCAAATTCTGGTCTCAAGTTCTGGGTTTGATGATGCTGAAAAATGCTTAATGCCCCCTCTGGTGGTAGAATAGGGTTAAGGGTGCATGTTTGAAATGTGGGCACAAAGCCTGAGAGCTGTTTCACACAGAATCAGGTGAGTTTATTCTCAGTACATAATAATAATCTAAAAAATAATAAGATGAGTTTGCATCTCACTGGAGGTGTTTAGTTAACAAGATCTTACTAATTCTCTATTTTAGAGGAGTTGTAGAGTTTCTCTACAATTCAAAGTCAAGCATTTGATTTTGCCAAGACAAACAAGGCATATTCCTGGCATTAACGCAGGTAGTTGCTAAACACTGGAAACGACAGGCTTTGTGGCATTAATGTTTCACTTGATTGGGAGACATTTGCTCCTACAACAGCGGATCAGTTCTCTCTGTATTTAGTATTTAATTGCAGAGATGGGGTGGACCTCCTGCATCATCTGGTAAGTTTAAATGGTATTTTAAATCCATTCGTATGTTGTACGTAAATAGTTTATGTAGTTTTTGTCATCAATTTCTAGCTTCATTCCAATATTCACTGTGTATAGCTGCTATAATTTTGGAGCTCGTTCCTATACAATTGTGTGTTATCTTCTGTACAACCAATGTTACAAATGTTTTATAGGTTGACTGAGTGATCCATCTCAGCATGCCATATATAAGCCTCAACAATATTATATGGTTGCAACAGCTGTGTTGACTGTATCACTGTGTTTGCTCTTTTTCTGTTTGCATCAACTTTGGACTAGTGGTTCACAAATTGATAAACAGATCGAATTCTCTCTGTTCATGCACCTTTCCAGGTTTCTGTATGTGTCAATGAGTGAGTGCTGGCGGCTGCCCGACCAAGAACCTCCAATGCATGGGGGGGTCCAGTCTCCCCAGTATCCTCAGCCTTACCCTCCCAACCAGAATAAGCAGTGGGACCTTAGTGTGCCTGAGGGCTACCAGCTCCGACTCACCTTCACCCATCTGGACATTGAAGCTTCTGAAGGCTGCCATTACGACGCCCTGACAGTCAGCGCCACAGTTCAACACATACGATATCGCAAATAACAAACCAGTGTTGTAGTGTTTGAGTTATAAAATTCAGTGACTCAAGTGTCAGCCTGACTCAGGCTTGAAAACCAATGACTTGAACTTTACCTAGAACACTTTCTCAGCATCTACGTACATAGCTCATGTTTCTCTGTTATTGCCAAGATGTGTTTTGATGTATCACAGTAACAGTTTACAAGATTATTCAAACATAAAAAATATTTAAAATAATTTTGAGGCCACATTGAGGCAGTGCAACAACTTGTAAACAACATTATCACCTTATAAAGACAGTTGCTTATTTACACATCCAACACACATGGATCAACATTGTCATTCATTTACTACTACCTCTGTTTTGGTCTCAATGACTGGAAGACTCTAAAAACCTCCATGCAGCTTAAGGACAATACAGATTCGGGGGATAATTCTCTGTGGGTTCATCTATACAAGTGACCCCTTGCATACTGCAATCACTTCAACCAGTGTTCATATGAAAATATTTTTAGCAGCTTTATGTATTGAGAGAACTTGAGACTTGAGACCCAGACTTAGACTCAAACTCAAACATAGAAAACTCGGAGGTTTAACTTTTGTACAATAAATAACTTTCTAAATAACTGAGCACAGACACATTCACAAATGATCCTCATCATGATTAAGATTTGATTCCTTATTTTCATATCATACCTTCAGGTTTTTTATGACGACAAGATTCTGGCAAAGTTTTGTGGCCATGAGAATTCTGCTGATGGGATTCACCCAGGCAACCAGCCCATATTGTCTCCAGGCAACAGACTCACCCTCGTTTTCCAGTCAGACGACAGCAACCCAGAGCGCCACCAGAACGTGGGCTTCTCTGCTCAGTACCAGGCAATAGGTACTAGCTACTCGGTTCTAGCACTTCACTCTTCACTGAACCACCTCACTAACTTAACGTCTCTCATTATCAGACATAGATGAGTGTTCTGCACCAGAACCCGCAGATGGGTCAGGTCCACTCTGCTCTCAGATCTGCCTCAACACTCTCGGCTCATACCTCTGCTCATGTCACCACGGCTTCGAGCTTCGCTCAGACCAGCGCACCTGTGTGTGTGAGTATTGAATAGATACATGCTTTTCCTGTATGTATACAGTAACTCAGTCAAACAGCTGTGACTTCAACTTCTGACTACAACGTCTACTTCAGTAAGTGACACTTCAAGGAACTGACTATTTATGACAAATGGTCATACAATTAGATTTGAGCTCTCAAATAATCTGAGCAGCGACAAGGACTAGAAGTAATCCCCACTTTAAAAACACATTCATGAACATTCAATCAGTAAAGTCAACAATACCAAGAGCCTAACATGGCAGCAATCTAGCAGTGAAGTTAAAGATTGCAACTAACTGAACACCGATTCGGTCTGTATCTGACGACCTGTGAAAGAGAACGGGCTGTGAAGCGTGTTGAAGAAACTACGGTGGCCACAAATCTTGAGAAAAATGTGAGAGGCCCTATCTAGAGCCAGTGAGTGGTTTGTCCCTTCTAGGCTACTGTAGAAACATGCAACTTGATGGACCTCACGGCAACTGTAGATAAAAAGGGCTCATTCTAAGGTAATGAAAACACAGCTATTCCTATATTCAAATGATTATACACTGATTAAAACATCCCTATGAAAATTGTATCATATATTAATTATAGTGTTACGCATTGGACCTTTAGAAGCGTCAGGTTAATAAGGACTCATTGTACACTCGTATGAATATTAATCAGATGTTACAAGTTACCTGGTAGTCAAGCAGCTGATGAATGAGCTCCAGGATGTGGTTAGTTTATGTTATCATACAGACTGGAAGCAGAGGGAAAACTGCCACTGTGATTCACTCAGAAATATACCTATCAACAGAAAAAAGAAAGCAAAAAGATGTAAAAAGTCTCTATTACTAAAGTATTGTAGCATTACCAAACTATAAGCAAAAGTTTGGTGATCCTATATAATGAATTCCTTTTCCAATTGTCCCAGTATCCTGCAGCGGTGGTATATTTGATGAGTCGGAGGGACATCTGTTCAGTCCAGGATACCCCAACCCCCCACCTCATGCTGTGTCCTGTCAGTACATCATTTCTGTAGAATCTGGCTTCACTGTCTCTCTCAACTTCACTGATAACTTCCACATCGAGAGCGTGGACACTGAGCAAGGCCCTAACTGTCTCTACCACTGGTTGCAGGTAATGGCAAGCACCTTCCATACAATGCGTATATTTATATAAATAACTGGAAATTAATGGAGCACAAAAAATATATTTTATACAACGAATGAGCTTGTATTCTCTTAACAGGTAACCGTTCCAAACAAAGAGCCTATGAAGCTGTGTGGTGGAAAGAGTCCAGGTCTGATAATCACAAACTCCAACACTGTCCTGCTGGACTACCACACTGATAATGACGGCCTGAGCAGAGGCTGGAGCCTGGACTACAGCACACACAGTGAGTGAGAGAGGAATAAGCCTAGAAATAAGAATGAATGGCCCTTATGTGCCAGTGAAATACCCTTTCCATCGTAATGTTGGATAACATTGCAGTTGATGTTACATGTCTGCTTGTCTGTGGTGTTTCCAGGAGTGCAGTGTCCATTTCCTGGTAAAGTGGGAAGGGGCAGGGTCACTCCTGTCTTGACCGAATATCTCTACAGAGACTACATCTCTGTGCGCTGCGACCCAGGATACAAGCTGATGACGGTTAGATTAAACTTACAATGTCTAATACTTAACAGCAACATGTTTATGTGTCATTGTGTGTGATATAAAAACACATAATGAGTTCCCCTCTTTTCTCTGTCAGAATGGGCAGGAGATAGAGAGTTTCTCTACCATGTGCCAGAGCAATGGGCAGTGGCATATCCCTCTGCCAGAATGCCACAGTATGTTACCTTTAAGCTTGTGAAGTTTGATTCAACCACAAATTATCTGGCAAAATATTAACATGTGCTTGTTTTTTGTTCCTCTGCAGTAATTGATTGTGGAGAACCCAAACCCTTGCTGAATGGAGGAGTGACCTTCCTGTCTGGCTTTCAGAATCAATACCGTTCTATTGTTCAGTATCACTGTAATGAACCATTTTACTCCCTCCTTGGGGGAACAAATGGTGAGATATTTACATACAGTGCTCTATGATAAGCTGTTTTAGATCCTCTTGAAACTTGTTTGAGTTGTATAATCCATTATTTTCAATTTACATTACATTTACTAATAATATATACCAAATCTGGAAGACTTGTGATGTAATGACTATCTATTTAAGCATCTAAAGGACAGCATTAGAAAAATGGTTAGCTGTGGAGTAATGTATAAATGATTTGTAGTAAATGGGCTAAAGCATGCAAAGCTACTCGTCCCTAAATACTAACTTAACACCAAGCTGAAAAACAATAATAATAGTAATTTCCTTTAAGGTATTATTAATTGGTGTGCTCTGTTGCACCTGTAACCACACCCAATAATTATGTCACAGTGTAGTACACTTTTACCTCACTTAACATTTCATCAAACTATATTCTTCTTTTGTCTCCTCTCTGCTCTTCAGTTAGTTTCACCTGTGAAGCAGACAGAAAGTGGAGATCCAACAATGATATTGTTGTCAGTCCAACATGTTTACCAGGTATTGGTTTTGTTAATTTAGATCTCAGTCAAGAATCTGTTGTTTAATTGTGTGAAATGCTGTGTGATACATATACGTCTGTATCCCATCCAGTCTGTGGCCAGCCTATAAATCACATCTCTGCCTATCAGAGGATCATTGGAGGCAGTGAAGCTCCAAACCATACCATCCCCTGGCAAGTGCTACTGAGTGTAGATGGACATAGAGCAGGAGGAATGGTGATTGCTGACCGCTGGATTATGACTGCAGCTCATGTCCTACAAGAGAATGGAAATACAGTACCAAATGAGGTTTTACGGGTAAGTGGTCTATTGTTATCTGCAAGCCCATTGCATCCATGTTTTTGAATTGACATTGATTTCTTCCTATGCTATTGATTTCCAGGTTTACATGGGACTCACTAATGTTAACACCCTGAGGCAATCTCCTGTGTATACCGCCTCAATCCATGTTCACCCTGAATACAACAATCCCAACAATGTAAACTTCAACAATGACATTGCCTTGATCAAACTGCGAGAGCCAATCACATTCAGAGCATCTGTTATGCCAGTATGTTTGCCAGAGAAAGGTGCCACATACGTCACTGGCATGATGGGGTAAAGAAACAACTGCCTGGTTTCACTTCATAATCCATTTTATATTTATTTATTTTTTCTACTTTTAGTTTAGTGAACTCTTTTTAACTTCAATTTAAATCTTCTTATTGCTTTTATCTCATTGTTCTGCCAACATGTGAATGTTTTAGACAGGAGACTCTTATTTGCCCCTTTCTAATGAGTTCCCCATAACTGTCTCTTTTCCTTTTTTGCAGACTGGTGTCAGGCTTTGGCCTCACAGAAAGTAACAACAACCGGATTTTAACAAATAAGCTGAAGTACGTGCAGCTCCCTGTGGTGGAGCAGGAGACATGCAGGGCTTCAATCACTTCAGCGAAAAAGAAAAGGAACAGTGTACCAAGTCTGACAAGTAACATGTTTTGTGCTGGAGTCCCTGAGGGTGGGAAGGACTCCTGCCAAGGTGACAGCGGAGGCCCTTTTACCCTGACTGATGACGGGCGGGTCTGGGCTGCTGGGATCGTCAGCTGGGGGGTTGACTGTGGACAGCAGGGAACATACGGAGTCTATACCAGAGTCACCCAGTACCTGGACTGGATCAACAAGACTATGCAGGATAATTGAGCTTTACTGTAATTCATTACAACATGGTGTGGAAACACAAAAGTAACAACATTTACAATAAAGTAAGAAAAAGAGAACAAACTTTGCTCTAAATATACTCTTTCTGCAGAGTTAATGCATATTGTGTCACAAAAAAGCTATAAATTAACAACTGACAATAAAATGATCAAGTGCACATTTCTACTTACTATTGTTATAACCACTTCCTTCCTAAAATTACTGAATGAATGTCATACTGATTGTGAAGTCATCACATTGTACTTAAATCCACTAAAACCTTTTTAAAATAAAGTGACATAATACAGACTTGCATCTGCCTTTTTCATGCCTGTAACACAGATTAGATACAGATTTTCTACCTTCTCTCCAACCAACTTGGTATTTGCTGGTCATTGTAATACTTGAGATGCCACTATTGTATATAGTTATAGCTGTAGTTATAGCTGTGTATGTGTACTATGTAATTACTACTTACTTAATCTATCTTCATGAACTCACAAACACAGTAGGCTCTCCTTCCACTGACTTTTTTGGGGCTTTCATTGTGCTCGTACTCGTAACTTTATACTGCACACAAACTCGGTTTTTACTCCTCATTCTTCTTGTTAAGTTCTTGTACAATTCATACCTGCATTTATTTTTGCCAAGATAAACAAACCCTGGAGGTTAAATTCCATTGCAAAATACTTCAAACCACAGCCTGTGTGACATTAATGGTCCATTTGTGCATTAGACGTTTTGCATAAACTGCAGTCACCCAGAGGTACATTTATTGCAGACATGGGATGGACCTATTGTGTTATATGGTAAGCTTAATCTATTTGTTTCACCTTCATGTTGCATGTTTTAGTGAATTATTCTTTTTTCACGAATTACTACCTTAAAAAAATTACAGTAAATACATACTATTAGTTTTTATTACTATATGATAGTTGTCTATGAGCAGTGTTCAAGATTAATTATGTGATCTACATATATCAAACTAAATACCAAACTAAAGCAATACTATGTGGTTGCAAAAGTTAAAAATTATTGTGTCACTTTGTTTGTTCTCTTTCTGTTTGCATCAACTTTGGACTACCACCTTAGTTCCAACTCTGTGTTTATGCACAATAATTCCAGGTTTCTGTGTTTGCGCTGGCTGCTACTCGAATCTCAACCTGTAATGCATGGAGAGGTCCATTCCCCTCAGTATCCCCTGCCTTACCTTCCTAACCTGCTGAAGCAATGGGACCTCTGGGTTCCTGAGGGCCACCAGATCCAGTTGTCCCTAACCCATCTGGATATTAAAGCTTCTTCAGGCTGTTATCAAGACTCTCTGACGGTCAGAGCCATGTTGAAATCTAATATTGTGCAATATTACAAACAATAGACCATTGTTTTCATATTCAAGTCTATTTATTGCTTAACTATGACCTGAGTGTTGATGACCTGCAGAAACTGAGGTCTTAAACTGGGACTACAAATCATCAGGGCAGTTCTTACTGTGTATCTGTTTGGTCATCCTGATTGACATACTGTTAACGTGTGTGCAGACACGACAGGCTATGATAATTCAAAACAGAGCTGATAGGATCATTAATGCTGTACAATAGCTGAGAGACGTTTATATATTTAAATATGTGAGTGAAAAAACAAAAGATTGAAACAAGCAACTTGAAGTAGCAAAGCTATGTCACAAACCTTGCCTATTTGCCCATTTTGAGCCTGCCAATTTCAGACACTTCTTGGCAGCCAACACAACAGCTTGTTAACAAAATTTTAGCATACTACTGTGAATGCAACAACCAACTGCAACAAGCCAAATAATACTGGCACTAATCAGAACAAAGGCAAAACATTACACTAAAATACGTTTCTGAAAAGATTTTAAGTGAGGTTGCCACTCTATAAGGCACCCTGCTTTATCGATTTTACCAACATTTACAAAATGAACATCATACTGTATGGAAGAAGACTCGAAACTAGCAATTGAGACCATAAACTCATTAAGAAACGGTTTATTGAACTAATAAATTAAGTGAGAAGTAGGCTCATTTCTTTTTTTCAGCCAATTCAGCTGCCCCCTGTTGGTCATTAGTAAGAATTTAGGGTTAAGAAATTTCTGTGTTGGCTTCACTTCACAGACCCGAAAGCTCTGTCCATTAATTATATGCTGTCAATGGGTCACCCTATGCAATAGACACTTGATGTAGTAAGTGTATACTGTCCTCATCAAGTGTCGGCTCATTCTCCATCAGACTGAATGGTATCGGTGTGTTATTGTAGCCAATGGAGCTCCCCCTGCCAGTCTTTACATAAAATGCAGGTTTGAAACCCTGCTTTGTCTTCACTTCACAGACTTGGAAGCTCTGTCCATTATACAGTTTATACCTTCAGTGGTCAGATTCTTCCTTCTAAAAACTTAAACTTTCACAATTAGGTACAGTCAGGGTTTCGTTGCTACAGCCTTACTTGAGGTTGTATTTTACCTTACTTGATCAGGTCTTACACTGTCTTATTTGCTCTTTATACTTTTCAGGTTCTCTACGATCAAAAGGTCGTGGGGAAGTTTTGTGGACAGGAAAATTCAAGTCATCACCCAGGCAAAGTGCCAATCCTTTCTCAAGGCAACAGATTGACTCTCATATTTCAAACAAGTGACTCCTCTGCGGAGCTCCAACAGCACATTGGTTTCTCTGCTACCTACGAGGCAATAGGTAGAGCTTTTCTGGTAACTTTCCTCTTCCCTGCATTACGTTATTTCCCCCAATCTTCAGAAGAAATTCCACCTTAAAAAATGTATTAACATGGTGCTTTTCCAGGGATTGTGGTCAATGAACAATGAATACAGAAAAATATATAACAACTGTATTGCTCTGAGGTGAAAGTAAGAGTGTCTTAAAATTCAAAGAATAAAATCAAAATGTATTTCCAAGATTTGTCTCTATAGATATATAACAATCTTGTCCTGTGTTGTCAGACTAACACAAAACCTCATTAAATTCAAAAGTTACAACTAAGCCAAAAAATAAAAATATATGTGAATGACCTAAATTCAAATTTAGGTTAAGTTTTCCCTTTAATCACCTTCTCATCATCAGACGTGGATGAGTGTTCAAAATCGGACCCCGGTCCAGGCTCGCTTCCTCTCTGCTCTCAGATCTGCATCAACACCCCCGGTTCTTACCACTGCTCCTGCCACTATGGTTACAAACTTCATTTAGACCAGCGCACATGTTTGTGTGAGTACTGTATACAGTAAATGCATGCTTCTTTCTATGTACCTTAATGTGTGTCATGCAGTGAAGCTCAGTAGTTACAGCATGGCATTAATGCTGCTGAGTCAGTGTAAATAATAATTGATTTTGCCCCATGTCCAGTCTCCTGTGGTGGTAATATATTTGAGCAGCATGCAGGACATCTGTCTAGTCCAAGGCACCCTCGCCCCTCACCACCATTTCTGTCCTGCAAGTACATCATCTCTGTGGACCCCAGATTCATTATCACTCTAAACTTCACTGACAACTTCCACATAGACAGCGTGGACACTCAGCAAGGTCCCAGCTGTCAACATCACTGGCTGCAGGTATTGGCAAAGGGCTTCCTTACAACAAATGCGACTCTGATATGCCTCAGTGTATAAATAAACGTTCTACTCCTCCTCCGCACATAGGTGACCATCCCAGATAGAGAGCCCATGAAGCTGTGTGGTGGAAAGAGTCCAGGTCTGATAGCTACAAATTCCAGTTCTGTCATACTGGACTACCATACTGATGATGAAGGCCTGAGTCACGGCTGGAGCCTGGACTACAGCACAAACGGTGAGGGACAAAATGAGAGAGACATGTTGTTTTGGTTGGTTGACGGTAACAATCAGTAACAATCACATATCTACACAAATATGTGATAAATGTTTGGTTATCATGTCTTATCGAGGTTACGTCAATTATTTACACATTCTTTCTTTCACTTGCAAATATTAATATTTCCTTGTTTTGTTCCTCTGCAGTAAATGATTGTGGAGAACCAGAACCTTTGATGAATGGAGGGGTGACCTTCCTGTCTGGCTTTCAGAATCAGTACCGCTCTGTTGTTCAGTATCACTGCAATGAACCATTTTACTCTTTCCCAGGGGGTGTAAATGGTGAGGTATTTACTTGTATCATTAAAAAAATAAAATTAATTAAAATTACATTTTTGATACATCTTAATTTAAAAATAAATGCTATTATCTTGTTCCCTATGGTCGTCAGTTAGTTTAACCTGTAAAGGAGAAGGAAAGTGGACATCCAACACCAACAATGTCACTCCAACATGTATACCTGGTACTGAAACACCCTATCTAACATATGTGTATTTTATTTAAAACATCTGTGTCTGTATGAACCTATTTTTTTTGTCTCATCCAGTCTGTGGTCAGCCCACAACACTCATCTCCACCTATCAGAGGATCATTGGAGGCAGTGAAGCTCCAGACAATACCATCCCCTGGCAAGTGCTACTGACTATAGACGGAATACGGGTTGGAGGAATGGTGATTGCAGACCGCTGGATTATGACTGCAGCTCATGACCTAACACATAACAGAAAACCAGTATCAAATGAGACTGTACGGGTAAGTGGGCTGTTATAGATGTTATCTGCAAGCCCATTGCCTCCATGTTTTTGAATTGACATTCTTTTCCTCCGTGATTTGCAGATTTACATGGGCCGTACTGATGTTAAATCCCTGATGGGTTGTCCTGTTTTGGTTGGTTCAATCCACATTCACCCTGAATACAACAACCCGAATGGCTTAGACTTCAACAATGACATTGCCTTGATCAAACTGCAGGACACAATCACATTCAACTCATCGATTATGCCAATATGTTTGCCAGCAGAGGGAGCCACATACATCACTGGCATGATGGGGTAAAGAAACAGCTGAGTTCTCATTTCATAGTACTACAGAATACATACACAACTTTTAGCTTTTTTCCTTGTTGTGCCAACATGTGAATCTTGTCCAGCTTCCAGACAAGAGGCTCTGATTTCCTGAATTTACCATTGCTGGCTCTTCTAGTCTTTTTTATTTATTTCAGACTGGTGTCAGGCTTTGGCATTATGGAAATTTACCCCCCACGGATAACAAAGAAGCTTAAGTATGTGCAACTCCCTGTGGTGGAGCAAGACACATGCCGTGAATCTGTCAAAAAGTTGAAGAAGACAAGGAACAACTTACCAAGTCTGACAGATAACATGTTTTGTGCTGGAGTCCCTGAAGGTGGGAAAGACACCTGTCTTGGGGACAGTGGAGGTCCCTTTGCCCTGAGAGACGACGGACAGTTCTGGGTTGCTGGGATTGTCAGCTGGGGGGTTGACTGTGGACAACAGGGAAGATACAGAGTTTATACCAAAGTCACCAACTACCTGGACTGGATCAACAAAACTATGCAGGAGAACTAAATTCACAGTAATTTATTACATGATGTGAAGATTAATAAAACACAAGTAAAAACGAAAACATTTACAATAAAATAAGGAAAGAGATATCTAAACATAACTAAAAAAAGTTATGAATTAACATAATCTTCTAGTTGATTATCAAATGATCAATTTCTACTTATCATGATTAGAACCATCTGCAAACTTCCTAAAATTATTCAATGAATGTCACACTGATTGTGAAGTCATTGCACTGTAAAAGCTTTTTTTTTTAAATAAAGTGACATTATACAGACTCGCATGTGCCTTTTTCATACATGCAACTCAGATTAGTCAGATTTTCTCTCTTACTAACTTGGTATTTGTCAGTCAATTTAATACCTTGTGCTACGAGATACTCTGATGTATAGCCTATTGTTGTTAATTACTGGGTGTGTCTACTATATACAGTAATATACTGCACATAAGTACTGCCTACTTAATCTTCATGAACTCCCAAAGACAGTATGCCCTACTCCTTCATTTACTTGTTTTGGGTCTTCTCTGTTCTGTGCACTGTGCTCATACTTTAACTGCACACACAGTTTTTCTCCTAATTTTTCTAGTTTGGTTAGTCAAATGTATTGAGCCATTATTGACCCTGTTCTTCTACAATTAATACCTGCATTTATTTTTGCCAAGATAAACAAACCCTCGAGGTCAAATTCCATTGCAAAATACTACAAACCGCAGCCTGTGCTACATTAATGGTCAATGAGCCTCTTTTGCATAAAACTGCAGTCACACAGAGATACATTCATTGCAGACATGGGATGGACTTACTGTCTTATATGGTAAGCTTGATTAAAATATCTTTACGTTGCATGCTAGCAATTTTCTTTGGTAAAAAGTGAGGATGTCCATTACAACATTGTCTATAGTTAAGTAGCTAAGTACCCTATAGAAAACTAAAGCCACAGTATATGGTTGCAAAAGTTAAAAATGTATTTCTAAACTGTATTTGTTCTTCTTCTGTTTGCATCAAATTTAACTAGCATCTTTGTTCAAACTATGTTTATACACAATTCTAGGTGTCTGTGTTTGTCAGTGACTAAGTGCTCACAGCTGCCTGACTCTCAACCTGTAATGCATAGAGAGGTCCATTCCCCTCAGTATCCCCGGCCTTACCCTCCCAACCTGCTGAAGCAATGGGACATCTGGGTTTCTAAAGGCTACCTGATCCAGCTGTCCCTAACACATCTGGATATTAAAGCTTCTTCAGGCTGTCATCAGGACTCTCTGACGGTCAGAGCCATATTAAAAACTATAAAATATTCAACAATATTTCATATAATAAATCAATGTTGTGTACTGAAGTCCAGAACCCGAATTTTAGTCTAATATTTATCACTTAACTTTGATCTGAGTATTGATGACCTGCACAAAATGGGGTCTTGAATTGGAACCAGGGACTCCTTCCATCACATCCAACCAGCCATCCATTAATTTTTTATTGCTTATCCAAGGACTGGTTGCATTGGCAGCAGGCTAATGATGAAGACACACAGAATCCGGTGAGGATGCATCTGACCGCACAAGACCACAGTGCTCCAGCTGGCAAGTGACGAATCTGCGACGGCTTAATTTGCATAAAGTTGAAGTTAAGTCGGGTTGACATCAGTCGATAGATCCATTGTGTTTGCACCATAACGGCTTGATTCTACATGGCATGGCAGTGTTGTGTTCCAGCTGATTGCAGCAACACTGACTTGTGGTTTTTCCGGACATGCTGCAGCGCATTTAAGAAGCAGCTCTCCACTCTGCTCAGCATAAATACAAATATTCTAATTTTGACTGAAACAAGCTGCATAGAGCAGATCGACCCAAGCAGCAAGAATGGCATAGAGCATCCAGTCAATGTTTAAAATAAAACATCCTGCAGACTCCTAATCGTAAATCACAAAAGTAAAAACATTTGGGCAGGAAAAACACTTCTCAAATGTTCAAATGTGTCAAGGGTGGAACAAAACTGCATTGCATACTCAATGTCATAGAGCAGTGTCCAGTAGGATCAAGGCGTATAGGTAACCAAAATGTTTCTCTCCCCAACAAATACTTCTCCAGCTCCTCTCGGGGGATCCTGAGGTGTTCCCAAGGCAGATGAGCTAATCTCTCCAGCATGTTCTGGACATCCTACCAGTTGGACATTGCTGGAAAACCTTGAAAGAACCACCAGATGTTCACTAAAGAGCTCCCCTCCCAAGTCAGCCTCTAGGAGGGGGCCCCGACTTGTTTTTTTGGCAACTACGAATCACTGGTCTAGTCATCTTGACTGATATACTGTAAACCTGTGTGAAGATATGACTGAAACACAGCACGTTTATGTAGTTTGAAAGACAAGTGGAAAAATAAATGAATTAAACAACTTAAGCAGTTGCAAAGCTATGCCACACACCATTCCCAGGCGTACTTGAAGTCACTTTAAGTGACCTTTAACTGCTCTCTTTGGTCTTACAATGTCTTTTTTGCTCTTTAAACTTACTTTTCAGGTTCTCTATGATCAAAAGGTCTTGGGGACGTTTTGTGGTCAGGAAAATTCACGTCATCACCCAGGCAAAGTGCCAATCCTTTCTCAAGACAACAGACTGACTCTCATATTTCAAACAAATGACTCCTCTGCGGAGCTCCAACAGCACATTGGTTTCTCTGCAACCTACAAGGCAATAGGTAATGCTTTTTTGGTCACTTCACTCTTCCCTAATATGTCTGATATGCCCCAACCCTTCTAGAGAAATTCCACCTTCAAACAAAATTAACGTTTTGCTTTTCCAGGGATTTTGGTCAGCATGATTAATATCAACAAATATAATAACAACAGTATCACTTTAAGCTGGAAATAAGTGTGTCAAAACATTAAAAGAATCAAATGAAAATGTACCCCTATCCCAGTTAATTCACTGTGGCTGTTGTCACTGTGTTCTAGGATTTGCTCAATTATTGTATATGGAGCAGCTCCAAGATTTGTCTCTATAAATGATGTTATAACAATTTTGATCATGAGTTGACCAGCTTAAGACAAGACTTATTCCGTCTCAAATTAAAGCTAAGCAAAAACAACAGTATAAATGTATACTATATATATTTATAGCTTAAATCAAGCTTAAATCAATCTTTAGGTTAAGTTTTCTATTAATGACCTTCTCATTGTCAGATGTGGATGAGTGTTCAAACCCAGACCCTGGAGATGGCTCAGGTCCACTCTGCTCTCAGATCTGCATCAACACCCCTGGTTCTTACCACTGCTCCTGCCGCTATGGTTACAAACTTCAGTTAGACCAGCGCACATGTTTGTGTGAGTACTGTATACAGTAAATGCATGCTTCTTTCTATGTACCTTAATGTGTGTCATGCAGTGAAGCTCATTGGTTACAGCATGGCATTAATGCTGCTTAGTCAGTGTAAAAAATAATCTTTATTTTGAAGTGAACTACTGAAGCTCTTCTTCTTATCCAGTATCCTGTGGTGGTTGTATATTTGACAAGCATGAGGGACATCTATCCAGTCCAGGATACCCTGGCCCTTCACCTCCTTTTCTGTCCTGCAAGTACATCATCTCTGTGGACCCCAGATTCACTGTCACTCTTAACTTTACTGACAACTTCCACATAGACAGTGTGGACACTCAGGAAGGTCCCAGCTGTCAACATCACTGGCTGCAGGTATTGGCAAAGGGCTTCCTTACAACAAAAGACAATGAAAAGAGACCCACTATTATACAAATAAACCTTCCACTTTTCCCCTGGTAGGTAACCACCCCAGGCAGAAAGCCCATGAAGCTGTGTGGTGGAAAGAGTCCAGGTCTGATAGATACAAATTCCAGTACTGTCAGACTGGACTACCATACTGATGATAAAGGCCTGAGTCAGGGCTGGAGCCTGGACTACAGCACATACAGTGAGTGATGAAGGGAGAGAGACATGGTGTTTTGTCTGGTCGATGGTAACAGTTTTACAACTGTATATATGTTATTAATGATGTTTTCATGTCCTTTCCAGAGGTCAAATGTCCAGTTCTAGGGAATGTGGCTAAAGGCAAAGTGACTCTTGTCTTGACAGAATATTTCGACAGAGATTACATCTATGTGACCTGTGACCAAGGATACAAGCTGATGATGGTTTCATGTTTTTTCTTTCACTGACATTGCTTGTTGTTCCTTCGTGTTAATTTTTGTTATATTAATTAGACAAACATATATTACACTTGATCAATCCACTATCTTTTACAGGATGGTCGAGAGATCAAGATGTTCTCAGCCACATGTCAAAGCAACGGACAGTGGACCCTCCCTCTGCCAGAATGCCATAGTATGTCTGTTCAGACCCCAAATTATTTTATTTACTCAAAACTTAGCTTAACAAAAACAAGGCAACATAATAAATACATGCATCAACAAAAACCCACAGCAAACCAGATCCAAACACAAAATTATACTTCCCAATACTGCTACCATATAACAACTACAGTCCAATGACACTAATCTAATACATTTCCTGTCACTTGCCAGATATGAATCTGTTCTTGTTTTTTGTTCTTTTGCAGTAATTGATTGTGGAGAACCCAAACCTTTGCTGAATGGCGGGGTGACCTTTCTGTCTGGCTTTCAGAATCAGTACCGTTCTGTTGTTCAGTATCACTGTAATGAACCATTTTACTCCCTCCTTGGGGGCGTAAATTGTGAGATATTTACACATATTCTTAAAATATCATTAATTATTTTTTTATTTCTGATATAGCTTAATTGAAAATGAATGCCATTTTCTTGTTCACTCTGGTCTTCAGTTACTTTCACCTGTGAAGCAGACAGAAAATGGAGATCCAACCATGATACTGATGTCACTGCAACATGTATACCTGGTATTGGCACCCTGTGATACCTAATCTTGGATGCTTTACTTAAAAATTAAGTCTGTGTCTGTGTAAACCTAAATTATGTTTGTCTCATCCAGTCTGTGGCCAGCCTATAAATCACATCTCTGCCTATCAGAGGATCATTGGAGGCAGTGAAGCTCCAGACAATACCATCCCCTGGCAAGTGCTACTGAGTGTAGATGGACTAAGAGCAGGAGGAATGGTGATTGCAGACCGCTGGATTATGACTGCAGCTCATGTCCTACAAGAGAATGGAAATATAGTACCAAATGAGATTTTACGGGTAAGTGGTCTATTGTTATCTGCAAGCCCATTGCCTTCATGTTTTGAATGGAAATGTATTTCTTCCTATGCTATTGATTTCAAGGTTTACATGGGACTCACTAATGTTAACACCTTGAGGCAATCTCCTGTGTATACCGCCTCAATCCATGTTCACCCTGAATACAACAATCCCAACAATGTAAACTTCAACAATGACATTGCCTTGATCAAACTGCGAGAGCCAATCACATTCAGAGCATCTGTTATGCCAGTATGTTTGCCAGAGAAAGGTGCCACATACGTCACTGGCATGATGGGGTAAAGAAACAACTTTCATTGTATAATGTTGTACAATCCATTTTATATTTATTTATTTTCTCAACTTTTAGTTTAGTTAACTCAGTCTTTTTAACTTGAAATTAAATTTTCTTATTGCTATTTGTCTTTGCCCCTTTCTAATGACTTCCCCATAACTGTCTCTTTTACATTTTTTCAGACTGGTGTCAGGTTTTGGCCTCACAGAAAGATTAAAGATTTTAACAAATATGCTGAAGTACGTGCAGCTCCCTGTGGTAGAGCAGGAGACATGCAGGGCTTCAATCACTTCAGCGAAAAAGAAAAGGAACAGTGTACCAAGTCTGACAAATAACATGTTTTGTGCTGGAGTCCCTGAGGGTGGGAAGGACTCCTGCCAAGGTGACAATGGAGGCCCTTTTACCCTGAGTAATGACGGACGGGTCTGGGCTGCTGGGATCGTCAGCTGGGGGGTTGACTGTGGACAGCAGGGAACATATGGAGTCTATACCAGGGTCGCTAACTACCTGGACTGGATCAACAAGACTATGCAAGAGAACTGAGATTTTTAGCATGATGTGAAGATTTGGATGAAACAAATGTAAAATCAAAAACAGTGAAAACATCTACAATAAAATAAGAAAAAAACAAACAGACATGTGCCTTTTTATACATGTATCTCAGATCTCTGGTAAAGACAATAATCATATTAATGTCTACTTCAACTGCCTCTTACCAACTTGTTTTTTTCCTGCTTATGGACACCTTATCCCATTTATGCCATGGTCACTTGCCAAAGAAAAAAAATATATATTTCCATACATTTTGCAATCCAAACGTTTCACAAGCCGTAACTCGGTTTCCCTGGTAACACCTTAGGGTTTGACCATTACCTGGAAAAATCAGTACCATCGCATTTGGTTCTCAATCGCAATGAAAATGTTGCCCACTACTCCAGTAAACAGGATGAACCTTAGATACGACTTGGCAGTGGGAGATGTTTCTGGTGATCTTGACCCACTGGCTTAGCTATGATCCAGAAAGATAGCACTAGCAAGATTCATGGTCAATAACACTGTGTACAGTTTACTCCAGTAAACAGAAATTGACATTTAAAAAAAAAAAAAAGATTAATGGACACCCTGCAGCCAATCCGGATCAAGTGTTCACCCAGACTATGGTATACATTGTTAATTATATGTTTACTACGTACTCTAGCTACTTCATGTCTCTTCATGAATTAAAGACAGTAGTCTCTCATTTTATTTACTTTTTTGGGTCTTCACAGGACTCTGCACTGTGCTCATACTCTGGATTGTTTGACTGCACACACATTTTACTCCTCATTCTTCCATTTCGGTTAGTCCAACTTACTGACCCTGTTCTTCTACAATTCATACTTGTATTTAATTCTGCCAAGACAAACAAACCCTGAAGGTTAAACTCCATTGCAAAATGCTACAAACCACAGCCTGTGTGACATTAGTGGTCCAGTTGTACATGAGACATTTCACCTAAAACTGCAGTCACACAAATATTGCAGACATGGAATGGACCTACTGTGTTATATGGTAAGCTTTGCCATGAATGTTCACCTTTGTTGTATGTTTTAGTAAAGTGTAATTTTTAATGGATTTATATCTTTCTATCTTGCATTATATACATACTATAAGTGTGCAACTACTCTACAACAGTACCATATAGAAAACTAAAGCCATACTATATGGTTACAGATGTTAAAATGTATTGTGTCACTGTATTTGTTCTCTCTTTGCATCAACCTTGGACTACCACCTTAGTTCCAACTCTGTGTTTATGTACAATAATTACAGGTTACTGTGTTTGTCAGTGCGGCAGTGCTGGCAACAGCCTGACTCTCAACCTATAATGCATGGGGAGGTCCATTCCCCTCAGTATCCCCGGCCTTACCTTCCCAACCTGCAAAAGAAATGGGACATCTGGGTTCCTGAAGGCTACCATATCCAGCTGTCCCTAACACATCTGGATATTAAAGCTTCTCTGGGCTGCTATCAAGACTCACTGACGGTCAGAGCCATATTAAAGCCTATCATTATACAATATTAGACAATAGATCAGTTTTTTTGTCCAAAACACAAATTTTAACCTAATACTTCTGATATAACGTTGACTTAAATGTTGATGACCTTCACAAACTGGGTTCTTAAAGTGGAACCAGGGTAAGAAATTCACAAGAACAGTGAACAGTAACAGTGAAACATGGCTTAGACTTTCAGCCACTGACTCTCATCCTGGCCATTTCACACTAAAACTGCAAACTACCCCAGACTGATCGGTCTGATAAAGCCAAATGAATTACATTTTCTGCAAGCAGAGAATCAATTCTGAGATCTAAACCAGACATTTACCAACCCACAAAGTCCTGTAACACCCAGGATTTTATTTCAGTGACTACCAAAGCCACAGCCCTTCTGGCTTCCTTTTTTGCTGCTTCGGCTGGCGCCAAGCTGGCAAACCAATCCCGAAAGACCCCCTTCTTCAGGTTATAGGCATTCATCACTGCTGGTATCCACCAGTTCAGTTGCTGCCATGACAGGCACCAACCCCCTTCTGATTACAACTCCTAACAGCCACCTCAATACAGGTTGTAAACACGACTCACTTGGATTTCACATCCCCAACCTCCCCGGGATGCAGTCCGAGTTCCAGTTCCTCCTCACTACACATTTGGGTTTACCAATCTGTCTGGCAGCTTCTCCCACCATCTGATCCAGCTCACTAGATGGTGATCAATTGACAACACTGAGTGTCAAACATAGTGTTTGATATTACCAATCTATGACTAGCACAGAAGTCTTGATTTCTATTTTGGCACCCCTGTTAACAGATTAGAGCAGTGTCTCAGGCTCCCGCAGCGCTTCACTAGAGAAACGAGATCTCGCCTATTTTTTCCACGAGCCGTAAACGTCTGCCTGCAAAAGAGGACAGTGAAGTGGATCCACATATTTCAGTACAGTTTAATTGTCACTTGTAGTCACTATGATCATCATTCCACGTTTATCAGGGAGTGCCTCTTCATGATCAATGGTCTTACAATGTCTTTTTTGCTCTTTACACATTTCAGGTTCTCTACGATCAAAAGGTCTTGGGGAAGTTTTGTGGTCAGGAAAACACTGATTACCCAGGCATAGAACCGATCTTTTCTCAAGGCAACAGACTGACTCTCATATTCCAAACAAGTGACTCCTCTGCGGAGCTCCAACAGCACATTGGTTTCTCTGCTACCTACAAGGCAATAGGTAGAGCTTTTCTGGTCACTTCCCTATAACTGTTTATTTCCCCCAAACTTCAAGAGAAATTCCACCGTAAAAACATATTTAACATGGTGCTTTGTAGGGCTGCATGATAAAAAATCTTATTGTGATTATTCTGACAGGTATTACAATTTTGATATGATTCACTTCACCTGTCAGTTCTCATAATGTTATGGCTGATCAGTGTATTATCTCCTTGAGCTGTAACAATATAAATATACATTAAAAAATACATTTTACTTTAGGTTAAGTTTTCCTTTAATGACCTTCTCATTGTCAGATGTGGATGAGTGTTCAAAACCAGACCCTGGAGATGGCTCAGGTCCACTCTGCTCTCAGATCTGCATCAACACCCCCGGTTCTTACCACTGCTCCTGCCGCTATGGTTACAAACTCCATTTAGACCAGTACACATGTTTGTGTGAGTACTGTATAAAGTAAATGCATGCTTCTTTGTATGTACCTGAGGGCCTGTCCTCACAAATAAGTTTTTCTCGAATCCGGATAAATATCAGCCACATACAGGCCTGGCATATGTACATCAGCATTTTGGGTCGTTTCAGTGAATCCCTGTGGACGCAGATATTTATAGATAGATATAACAGATATTATATTGGAAACGACGCTGTGTTTACGGAGGTTTTTTTCGAAACGACATCGTATTGGGTGAGGCCGCGTATTCGTGAGGACATGCCCTTAATGTGTCATCCTATGAAGCTCAGTAGTTACAGTGTGTACTGCTGCTGAGTACAATATTGAATATTGAATCTCTTGTTCTTGCTACCATAATACATGCTTTTGCCCAAATGTATAGTATCCTGTGGTGGTTGTATATTTGACAAGGATGAGGGACATCTGTCCAGTCCTGGATACCCTGGCCCCTCACCTCCTTTTCTGTCCTGCAAGTACATCATCTCTGTGGAGTCCACATTCATTATCACACTAAACTTCACTGACAACTTCCATATAGAAAGCGTGGACACTCAGCAAGGTCCCAGCTGTCAACATCACTGGCTGCAGGTATTGGCAAAGGGCTTCCTTACAACAAATGACCCTCTGATATGCCTTAGTATAAGAAAAAACTTTCCATCACTCCCCTTATAGGTGACCATCCCAGGCAGAGATCCCATGAAGCTGTGTGGTAGAAAGAGTCCAGGTCTGATAGCTACAAAATCCAATACTGTCAGACTGGACTACCATACTGATGATATAGGCCTGAGTCATGGCTGGAGCCTGGACTACAGCGCATATGGTGAGGGATGAAGAGAGAGAGACAAGGTGTTTTCTTTTGTCAAGGGTAATGGTTGTACAACTGTAGATATGTGATTAATATTTGGGTATCATGTCCTTTCCAGAGGTCAAATGTCCATTTCCGGGTCATGTCACTAAAGGCAGAGTGACTCCTGTCTTAACTGAATACTTCTTCAGAGATTATATCTATGTGACCTGTAAACCAGGATACAGGCTGATGATGGTTTGATGTTTTCCTTCTTTCGCTGTCCATTCGTTAAAGGACCAGTGTGTAGGATTTAGTGACATGTAGCGGGGAAGTTGTAGATTGCAACCAAATGAAAACCACTCCCTTTCCAAGCATGTAGGAGAAACTTGAAAAGGCCCTATTGAGAGCCAGTATTTGGTGTGTTTGTTCTTGGCTACTGTAGAAACAAGGTTGAACATGGCAGCCCTTTGTGATAGATTAAAGCGGCTCATTCTATGGTACCAAAAACACAACAATTTAATATTTTCTGGTGATAAAAACCCTAATGAAAACATAGTCCAGTGTGTATGTTTTCATTAGTGTATAATCACCTGAACATGGTTTTGATTGTGTTTTCATTACCTTAGAATGAGCCATTTTTATCTACAGACGCAGCAGGTTGCCTTCCAAGGTGAACCACCATGTTTCTACAGTAGCCCAGAATGGACAAACCAAACACTGGCTGTAGATAGGGCCTTCCATGTTTATGCAATGTTCCTGGCCACTGCAGTTTTTCCCACACACTTCACAGCCTGTTCTTATTTCCAGGGTGTGTAATACAGACTCCAGTGGTGTTCATTTAGTTACTATACTTAAACTTAACCACTACATGCCACTAAATCCTACACACTGGTCCTTTAAGACAAAAAAAAAAGAGTTAAAAACAAAAAGTTAGTTAAAGTTTGTCAGTTTTCTTATCTTTTTTTCTTATTTGTTTTAATGTGTGAATAAGACCAACATTCATCAAATGTTTTTAATTCAAATAATTCAGTTTCTTTTCTAGAATGGTCGAGAGATCAGGAAGTTCTCAGCCATGTGTCAAAGCAACCGACAGTGGCACCTTCCTCTGCCAGAGTGCCAGAGTATGTCTGTTTTGAGCCCGTAAAGAAAACGTACTATAATCAAATGTCGTTCTTGACTCACTAGCAAAATATTAATGTGTGCTTGTTTTGTTTTTCTCCAGTAATTGATTGTGGAGAACCCAAACCTTTGCTGAATGGAGGGGTGACCTTCCTGTCTGGATTTCAGAATCAGTACCGTTCTGTTGTTCAGTATCACTGCAATGAACCATTTTACGCTCTCCCTGCAGCTGTGAATGGTAAGATATTTACAGACAGTGTTCCAGAAATATCATTAATAAGAAAATGTATTTTTCATGAAGCTTAACTAAAAATAAATACCATTACGTTGTTCCCTGTGGTCTTCAGTTAGTTTTACCTGTGAAGCAGACGGAAAGTGGAAATTCAAACACAGCGATGTCATTCCAACATGTATACCAGGTATTGTTGCCAACATAAAACCTAGTGATACCTAATCTGCAACACTTTATTTAAAACATGAAATCTGTGTCTGTATGAACCTATTTTTTTTGTCTGTCTCATCCAGTCTGTGGCAAGCCGACAAAACTAATTTCTACCTATCAGAGGACCATCGGAGGCAGTGATGGTCCAGACAATACCATCCCCTGGCATGTGCTACTGATTATAGAAGGAAGAATAGGAGGAGGCATGGTGATTGCAGAGCGCTGGATTATGACAGCAGCTCATATTCTAATACAGGATGGAAACCCAGCTTCAAATGAGACTGTACAGGTAGGTAGGCTACTGTAGGTGTTATCTGCATGCCCACTACCTCCATGTTATTGAATTTACATTTATTTCGTCCTATGCAGATTTACATGGGACTTATTGATGTTAAAAGCTTATTGGGCTCTCATGTGTATGCTGCCTCAATCCACATTCACCCTGAATACAACAACCCCAACGGCTTAGACTTCAACAATGACATTGCCTTGATCAAACTGCGAGACCCAATCACATTCAACTCATCCATTATGCCAGTTTGTTTGCCAGCAGAGGGAGCCACATATGTCACTGACATGATAGGGTATAGAAACAACTTTTAATTTCATAACGCTTTATAATTAAATATTTCAAGGTTATTTTTCTGAACTCAATAATCTTATCTTGCATTTTATTTTGTCCAGCTTTTCAGACTTTTTTTCTCACCATAACTGTCTTTTCTGCAATTTCTCTTCAGACTGGTGTCAGGCTTTATTACAGAAACTGACAACCAACGGATTTTAGCAAATCATCTGAAATACGTGCACCTCCTTGTGGTGGAGCAGGAGACATGCAATAGTTCAGTCAATAAGCTGAAGAAGACAAGGGGCAACTTACCAAGTCTGACAAAAAACATGTTTTGTGCTGGAGTCCCTGGTGGTGGGAAGGACTCCTGCCACGGTGACAGTGGAAGCCCCATCGCTCTGAGGAATGATGGACGATTCTGGGCTGCTGGTATTTTCAGCTGGGGGTTTGACTGTGGACAGCCGGGAACATATGGAGTCTATACCAGAGTTGCCAACTACCTGAACTGGATCAACAAGACTATGCAGGAGAACTGAATAAAACCAGAGACAAATATAGCCAAATAAAAACAAATGAGGAAAAATAACTTTACTTATACAGTCCTTCCTTATTCAACTAACAATAAAATGATGAAGGTGAGGTACATCACTTCTGTTGTAAAGTGATTTTTGTATTTGAGTTGGAATTAAATAATTCTAATTACATCATAAGTAAAATTCTTCTTTGAGCGCAATAAAGTTTTAACACAGTGTGCCTATCAATAACCTAATGATTAACATCCATATATTTACTCTCTCTCCGGTTTGGACTCCACCAAATCCTGAGGTGAATATCTGATCCTTAGGTGCTCCTTTGTGTTGGCTATAGTCTCTAACTTTGTCTTTCATTTTGTGTTAGGCATTTAGCAAAACGTGGGTTTAGCAAGATTTTTTTAATGATAAATCTTGCTTGTGGCTGGAAATGAGGTTGATGAGAGCAGTGAGATTGAATAAAACAGCAAGATGATACTCCTTTGTGGTTTCATCACTTCAACAACTCGTGTATATCACACTATCATTTGATCTATTGTTAATATGAAACCATTTATTATTGCAGCTTCATTTTCTACCTAATAATAATAATTTCCTGAATAGCATCATATGCTAGTAGAGTAAGATTTAATCTTTAGTGACGTTTCCTCATGATTTGGCACCTTATAGGAGAAACTCTTAGATGGTGTGAAGATTGATAACGTTGCCACCCTTGAGTCTGCACTGTAATGTGTAGCTGGTTAGCTTAACTTAGCATGGAAAAAGACTGGAAACATGGGGAAACCGCTAGTTTGCTCTGTCTAAAGGTTAAAAAAAAACAATTCTACCTGCACTTCTAAAGCTCACAAATAAATAAACCTCTTCATTATTGTGACCAGGGCAATTAAGCGCCCTGACAGCAAGTGCGACAACGCCACCCTGGGACTTTCACCCAGAGAATACCCACTTTCACAGGTTCTTATAGTACAGAGAAAAAGGAGCAGAGATGTGAATTTCCAGTTTCGACCACTACATTTATTTACACAGATTTAATGTCACTCTCAAAAAAAAAACATTTGGGATAGGTTAAAATTTACGATTTATTACCAAAATATACTTATATTCACTAAACAGGTAATTACCAGTACAAGGGGGAGGGGGGCTGTCAGGGAGGCCTACAGGAATGAGGGAGTGAGAGAAAAGGGGGGTCACCAACACCAGTAGGTACAGGGAAGAAGAGATCACACACACACTGCAAAACAATAAAGCACATAGTTAGAATACACAGCAACGTAAGCATGCACATAGAACCCAGACAGGGGGAAACCCTCCACCCAGTAACCCACCACTTGTCAGCGTATGACAGCCCACCTGTACAAACACTAAAAATAGCTCCACTATATCATTAACTCACAAGTTTGGTTTATGAAAGATGATAAATAAATCCGACAACTAAATTAACCAAGAAAACACAAACCAACTATCAAAAATTAACAATCTACACAGTAAAACAAGGTAACCATATACAATAAATACATTTGTAGAAGGGCAAAAACAGCTGTAGCCAGAAGACTAGGTCATGGGAACAGACACCATGTTCCAGTTCCTACTGTAAAGAAAACACATACAAAATATATGGTGACATGTATACAATATAAACATTAATCCAAAAACATATGTTTCAGTCATTAAAATCTAAAGACCACTGAGAAGAATAGTACACAAGACATACAACTTAAAGATTAACATACCTGCGAGTTACATGAACAATTTATCCAACCAGAATCTGGCACATACACACCACACTCTTCTAGTGGAGGGAGCAGCAACTACCTTCAATTAGCTCCCATATTCCTGCCATTACACCTGCACAGATGTGAGGGAAGAATTTAATGCATGCGCCCACTATATGACAAACAAGCCAAGAACAATTCATACCTTAGTTGGGCATCGGCATCCCTCAAACAACTGTAGAGTCAGGGTAGGTTGAGGCAAAACCTACTGCTGACTGCTACACAGCTACATTTAAGGACTGAGAAGTGATTAGCCTCACCTGCTGACAATCAATGATTGCAGGGTGTGGCTAAACTAGAGTGGGGAGGGAACGCTACCCATCAAATTATGACTGTATTACACAATTAAAAACAGACAGACGTTGGTTTCCATAGTGGCCCATGACCAGCTCCCTGCTGCTCTGTGATTGGACGATTCCTCTCTGCTCACTTTCACTTTCGCTTTTCCACTGCTGCATTTTGCGCATGCTCCCAACAGCGAGACGGACTTGCATCTCCTGGACTACCTCAAGAGTTTACTATTATATTATATCATATTATATAAATCGCTGCACAGTTCTTGTATAATATCGATGGGATGAAGAAAAGGCTGTAAAATACTCAGAGTGTGGGCGACACAATGAGCTGCTGTTAGTTGTTGAAATCAAAAGTGAAAGTGCGCTGGTTATTTTGTGTTCTAAGGAAGTTATTTAATTTTATCCAGCTGTACTAACGTTAAAGTTTGCCTATGGCACTAAATACACTGAAACAAGACTCCATGATGATGATTGAAGGGCTTTTGTTTGGATGCTTCCTGACGTGCGTTTGTGGTAAGAGCATTCATTTTGGCATATTGATGCAGCGCCTTATGGTGGACAATGTAGTAGTGGCCATACATTTATTGAACTTCAGTTGATTGTCAGACTCAGTAATAAACGTTTTGTCTGACACAGCTTATTTTGTTCATCCTTTACTATATTAGGTCTATGATTTCCTTTGTGGGGTGTTTATTTGTACACTTTCAATAAATTGAATAAAATTGACTTCTAATTTAGTCCTAGAATATTTAAGTCAGTACGTAGTAGGTCAGATGAATAGGAAAACAATTAATATTTGTCTAATAGGAAGTAAATAGCTCAGCACATATGAAGGAAAAAAGCTATCAATAATAACAATTATTATTGATGAATATTTCCCTGTGTTTAAATGGAGCAGTTTGTTGAAACTAAATTCCTCTAGAAATCAACAGTTGCTTTTAAAGGGTTTTGTGACCAATTTCTAGCTTTCAGTGTGTTTTTAGAAAATAAACAGACTTCTGTTTAATAGTAATTATTAGTTATTATGTTAAAAATGTTTTAAAGCTTAAAAACAATTAAATGTGTATAATAAGAACTTGATTCAGACCAGATGATAAATGACAAAAAAGTATTTAAAAGATTTTTGATTTGCCCCTTCTTTCTCAGCCAATGGAGTTGCAGATGTGGTACTTTCTTGCGCCCTGGTGGAGGAGGGAGTGGGAATGGGAGGAATGGGCGGCGGGGCTCTTTTCACACGGACTCCAGCCACTCTCGTCTTAAGAGATGTCGCAGTGGCTCCTGACGAATCACTGGAAACACTCACTCCGTTTGTCCCGCCTTCAATCCCTGATCCAGATGCCATCCTCTTAGAAGCCAAAGGTTTTCCCTGTCTTTTCTATGTATAAAGTTTGGTGAAATATAAGCACAACCTGTGTTGAACTTCTCCTCTCATCCCCCTGTGACAGTCTCATCACCTGAGATCCCCAACGTGGACGTGTTGCTGCACGCGGACTGCAATGAGCAGGAGGTGATGTGCGAAATAAGCCGTTACTCTCCTCAGGGATCCCAGGAAAGTATAGATCCAGCTTACTTTATGGTGTCCCTTAACGTGGAGGGAGTTGAGTTCAGCACTTCGTTGATTCTGCAGACTTTGACTGTGGAGAAGGACCAGTCGACCCTCATACAAAACAAACTGGGTCTACCTCTTAGCCAGTCGGGAACGCTTCTGACTGAGGGTGAGAATCAGAGTTTAATATATCATTTAATTTTCTTTCTTATTGAATTGTTTCCATTCACAACTTCTGTTTCACATTTTTTTTGCTTCCTGTCCCACAGTGATATTTGTGGTGTTTTCCCACATAAAGTCTGTATCTGCCCCTCTGAGAGGTGATGTTCTCCTCAACTGTGGCTTTAAGCAACAGGAGATACCCTTAGCACAGGAGGTGGGCATTGAATGGCGACTGCAGCACAGGGGAAAAGGGAGGAAAGTGCTTGACATGAAGACGAGGGTGGATGATGCAGAAGGGAACACAGTAGGTAAGTGCTGTGTGAACGGGTGAGCCTGGCCTCTTCTGGTCCATCCAGGGTGTTTATGAGGATTTACACTCAGACGACGGCTTCTCGTAGCTCTGAGAGTGATGATGATGGTAGATTAGTGCAAGTTGACTGCAGGAAGTTCATGAATAAAAAAAAAGGCAAATGGAGGTTTTGAGGAAAAAGGCAGCAGTTTTTACATTAAACAACTATACTATATAATTACTATAATATTACTACACTAACCATTAGTATAACATTAATGCAGCAGAATATGTAAAAACATTTAAAATTGTGTATTTTCAAATGTTGCATAAATTAGCATGACATTGATATTGCATCGTGAAACAAGCTGTCGAACCACAATGTTCATAATAATAATAATATATAACATCTTTAAGACATTAGTTTGTGTGGTCTTTACTTCACAAAATAATTCCTCTTAATCACGTGATAAATGGGTATGTAGATAACTTTTAATGTGAGAAAACTGCACAAAACATACAAACGGAGATGACATGAACAGCACAGCACCCAGCTAAGTGTGTCAAACAAATCCCCGTCTCAGTATGGTCAAAAGATCCAGAGCAAGGGAGAAAGAGGACCTTAAAGTTTGAGTTTTGTCAGCTGCTTTTTTCCAAGGTCAACAATCAACTGCTCAAGTCATTTAACGTCTACAGTTTAATGACAACTGAGCAAATTTGATGCGATAAAATTTCCAGAACAAGCAGGTAAGAGGATTTTGATTTGAGTTTGTTTGGTCAATTCCTGTTGTAATTTGTTGTACTCAGTGCGTGCAGAAAGGAGGGGCTCGAGCATAAATGTTACCAAGGTTGTCGGTGAGGGTGATGTCTCTGTGACTCTGAGCAAGCTGAAGGTTTTGGATGAGGGGACCTACATCTGTACTGTCAGCATAGGCCTTTTCCATGCCCAGCAAGTCATTCAACTCCACGTTATTCGTAAGTTTCACCCTAATCTCTCAGTTCTCTCAGAAAAATCCACAGAATATCTTTCAATTCTTCCTCTGTTGCTGTTTGTTTCAGAGCCACCACAGGTCTCCCTCTCAGAGGAAAAACTGGTTTTGAATACGAAGTCACGGCAGACACTGAGCTGCCATTGCGCTAAATATTATCCACTGGATGCTCAGGTCTGTAACTTGTATGTTCTTAGATGTTCACCAGTATAGTCTTCTGTGTTATCCCTTTGCTACCATTGAACAGCTTGGAAATACATACAATCTCTGGAAACTAGTTATTAATTAGTTAGTTAGAAATTAATTGTTTGATACACGTTGAGATAGGAAATAATAGTAAATAGTAAACCTGTTGCCAGTAGACATTATTTACATACATGCCACTGATGCACCATGGGGCTGTAATGTACACGGGTAAAAGAAGTCCATTGTCCAAACAAAGTCTTTGCCTTTGCCAATATAACAACAAACCAAATATAAATTTAGCAAACATCAAACAAAAGTAAATACTAAATACATCTGGTTTAAATGAAGCAAGTATCTAGAGTAATCAAACTAACACACAAACAAATACAAAAACAAAAACTATTAATAAAACAACAAACCAACTAATAAATCACTCCTACATTAAGGATTCGATCAGGTGTTATTTGGTTGGATTTGACCCAATTAGAATATGCATTGATGTTTGTTCTGCATCTGGATCAGTGTGTAGGATTCAGTGACATCTGCAGCTGCCGCAAAACTATAGTGAAAAAAGGTCCTCTCTAGATTAAGTGTTTGGTTTGTCTGTTCTGGGCTACCGTAGCAACGTGGCAGCCTCTGTAGAAATGGATCCTCTTCCTAATGAAAACATACCTATGAATATTATATTCCATTTCTGCCAATAGATCTTCCTCAATGTTACTGGCTTTTGATTAGAATGTTTTATTTTATTATTTATATTTATATTCGATTTATTTTATTGTATTTATTTATTTATCTTTATGTAATTTATTGTCATGGTTTTCAATTATTTTGCAGTTTTTTAAACCTATATTTTTAAGTAGTTTTATTATCACATTTTAATAATTTAAATTTATTGTGTGCATAGGTCTTAAATTGTTTTTATTGTTTATATTTGTACCGTCTTAAAATGAGCTTGTCAGTCAGCTCTGAAGCACTTTGAAATGCACCAAAGTGTAGGAAAGGTACAAATAAATATTGATTGATTGATTGATTGATTCTCTGCTTTCTTCTGCCTTTCAGATGGAGTGGTCATCCCTCTCTCCCACAGACACAGAGCCTACGGTGTTTCCAGATCAGGGCTCTTTATCCAGCCATCGTCAGCATGGCGATGGGACTTATTCCCTGTCATCTCACCTCACTGTGCCCTCCAGTATCTCCCCTGGAACTAAAATCACCTGCAGAGTGTCCCACCCGGCCCTGGAGGCTCCTCTATCTATCAGTCTGGTGGTAGAAAGTTCACCAACAGGTATTATATTCTGTGTGTGGCTGTTGTTTGTCGTTCTAAATGTATCTGTAAAATCTGCACCCCAGCACCTCTAAAGTTAACGAATAAACTTGTTATATTTCGTTTTATCTGTATAAAAAACAGAAGAGCAAAAACAACATTTTGTGGTTATTAGAGTGGAACATAATGCATAGTTAGTTTGAAACTGGTTTGGGTCAAATCACAACCTCTTTTGATCACGTCACAGCAGAGGGGAGTTTTTCACCTGGAAAATGCAAAAATGCAGTTTTCATTTTACAATGAGAATCATGTCTGTTTTGCAAATGAAACAGAAACGTTTTATGTCTTTAGATTATTTATTTGCATTACATTCTGTGTATCCTTGATATCAACCTTGTATAAAAATCCTTAACTGTTCTCTGTGTCTCTCACTCTACAGATTCCTATTGGTGGGTTCTGGGTTTCCTGGTTGTCACTGTGCTTTTCTTCTACCAGGTCATGAGATAAGTTAGTAGGAGATACTCTAGTAGATAATCCTGACTTGAAACTGAGCCCAGAAAAACTTAATTTGTGTCATTTGTGA